TCATTACAGATTTGACTTGTTTTAGAGAGAAGAGAGTTCTGAACACTTCACACATCTTTAAGAGTATATTTACCTACAATCTCTTCAACGAACAAACACAGAATGATTTCAAATGTATAAAAACGCAAACCTACAAAACTATGCCCCAAAATATCGTAACAGTGCTCACTAGTGACTAGTAGCTTCGTGAGGAAATTCTCAGAGTTCTAGTTGAGAAGACGTGACCACTAGTGGAGTTCAACCCTGTCGGGTGCAGTAGGCAGTAACTAACAAAGACAAATGGGTGAGGTCGCGCAAAATCCCTAGATCAATCAGAGTTAGACATTAACACCGTTGGATGCCGGTCCCTATGGTCCGATGGTAAGGCGTTCGCCTACAATGCCAAAGGTGCCGGGTTCTAGTCCTGCGAGGTTCAGGAGTCGTGGATGCGCACTGTCACTGATGAGTCCCAATGATTGATTGATGATTTCAAATGTGTAAAAATACAAACCTCCAAAACTCTGCCTGAAAAAAACACAGAATCGTCAGATAACGTAATAAACCCTATTACTATTAAGATTATTTGATATGTTGTAATGTTGGTTTTCACATTGATTGATTGACTCATTATTTCAACAATAAAAGCATTGATCATAAACTTTCTCTGTTTCCAAGTTCATTGATCAATAAATAACTACGTCATCATCAATTACTCTAAACACATCAATATTTATAATATGATAAATCTGTTAACTATTACTGTTTATTAGTTTAAATAAACAACACAACTATACCATCATAAAAAGCAAATGAAAATCATTGAACATTGAATATCACTTGTTGTTTTGATTTTAATGATGATGCTTATGGTTATTGTTGTTGTTTTTAAAAAAACGTTACATCCATTGGTAGTAATATTTACTTACTTACTTACTTACTTACTCACGCCTGTTACCCCCAATCGAGGAGCATAGGCCGCCAACCAGATTTCTACAACCAAATCTGTCCTGGGCTTCCCTTTCCAGTTCTGTCCAATCTGTGTTCATTCCTCTCATATCTTTCTCTATTTCTCGGTGTAATGTGTTCCTTGGCCTTCCTCTTTTCTTTTGGCCTTGAGGGTTCCATGTAAGGGCTTGTCTTGTGACGCAGTTTGGTGCTTTCCGCAATGTGTGTCCTATCCACATCCACCGCTTCTTCCTCATTTCCTTCTCCACTGGTATCTGGTTTGTTCTCCCCCACAGTTCGTTGTTGCTGATGGAGTCTGGCCAATGAATCCGAAGTATTTTGCGTAGACAACTGTTAATAAACACTTGTATCTTATGGATGATGGCTTTCGTAGTTCTCCATGTTTCCGCTGCATACAGTAAAACACTGTCTTGACATTTGTATTGAAAATGCTGATTTTGGTTTTGGTTGGAAGTTGTTTTGAGTTCCAGATAATTTTCAATTGTAGAAATGCAGCGTTTGTGCTTTGCCAATCCGCGCCCTCACATCTGCTTTGGATCCATCTTTCTCGTCGATGATGCTGCCCAGATATTATGTAAAAGTGTTAACGTCCTCCAAGGCATCTGTCTCCATCAAGAGTGAGTGATTTGGTTGGTGCATGTTGTGTTGTGCATCGGAGAATTTCGCTTTTTCCTCCTTTATGTATGTTGAGACCTATTTACTTTATTGTAAAATAGCGTGTGATAATCCAATAATCCAGTTTTTTTCTCGTTCACCTTCATGATACCATTCAATGTTTGAACATGCAATCTATTGTATTGAATATTGAACAAGTGTAATTATGTATGAATAATAATCGTAATGTTTAGTATACATATATATATATACCAAATAAATTGATATTTCTTTTTATTTTCTGCTTTAAAAAATAACAGCGATCTATTCAATTGAAAATTGATTGACCTTAAATGCATGTAGAATTGTTTTATTCAATAGATGGATGACCATCATATTGATGTGTTTAAACTGAAATTGAAATTGAAAAATTATATTTATTGTTGTTTAATGATGAAGTATAGAAATGAATACTTATCAGAAATTGTTTGTTTTTTTCTGAAATTATGAATCGATCAATGTTTGACTACCAGTAGAAGCATGGAAGTACTGTTTAGACGGTTGTTTTGTTGTTGGCGTCATCAGCATCCATGACCTCAAAAATATTTTTTGCAAGCGGGATTGAAGATCCTGAATCTGGTTCCCTCTTGCCAGTCGTGGATGTTGAGCATTGCTAAGGCGATTCACAGAGTGAGCAACGCTGTTATTAGGAATCGGGTACTAGGTAGAGATGGCAGATCAATAGATGAAGTAATGAAACTTCATCAGTTGAGGTGGTTGGGACATGTGCTACGTGTATGCCAAACCACTGACTGCCTCAACGAGCCATATTTTGCAGTGTAGGAATAGGTTGGAAGAAAGCTAGGGGCGGCCAGACCAAAAAATAGCACAAATCCATGAAGTCATCGACAAGTGAACTGAGTCATGTTAGTAGGTGTCGACCACCTGGTTAGGGTCCGCGAGATGATAATAATCGATGGTAAGAGACCTTGAATGATATGGCTCAAAACCGTTTGCGATGGCGCCGGTGCATTTATTCTTTGTGTTCTCTCAAATCCTAATCTTCTTGATTCTTCAACAACTCTAGTTTTGACTTTCTAAACTTATCTCACTGAATCATACTTCTAGTCCTAACCTCTCCGATTACTTCTAATACCTTTACTACCTCTACTACTATTGGATTTGAATTGACAATTCCATCTCTGTATGTGTGCTGATGTGGTATGGCAACATGAACTGATGTACTTACGTACGAAGTTCTACGTTGCATCTGACTGACTAACATGGGGACAAGACTGTTGTCTAGTGCCATCAAGTTCTTAATGATGGTCTAACATTGTTCAATTCGTAAGTTCATCTATGAAAATGAAAGCATCTGTAAGAAATATGCAGAGAGTAATCAGTGATGTCATAGATTTTGGTGATCCATGTTGACTGATGAGAAAGCATGAATGTTTGCATATTGATCAATGATCTACCACCGCTCATTCACGAGGAACAAACTTATGCGCTTTGATTTGAAAACGCATGGTGCTACACGATTAGCTAGAACAAATCTATGATATATTGACTAAAAGCTAGTTTTCTTAATCATTAAAACATTGACAATCATGTAAATTTATCCCACTCCAATGGAGAGCGGTCGTTTTACACTGGTTCTCAGGATAACCAAACACTGTTCAAATGTTAACACGATAACTTGAACAGTACTGCTCAATCCTGTGATGCAACCACATAGAGGTGGTACCTGACATTGTGATGGACCACGTTAAAACATAACTTGCTTACTTTAAAACTAATTTTTTACGGTTAGCGTTTTTTTTAGAGAGTCAGTTTTATACAACATGCCCAACTTTCCTCCTTTATCCGGTCTTCGGACTGGCAGTCATCGCAGAAGGGCTACAGCTGGAGTTTTAGGCTCAATAATTATCTATCTTTCATGCAATGAAAATCTAATCACATGTCTGATAGTTCATATCACATTTCATATTTGTAAACTAGTTCTCAACACTAATTCCACAGAGTTTCATAGTTTCAACTTTGTACAAAAACTGTCAGTCCATAATTTCACTGAATATAGATTGATGAACATGACGTCAATCAGTGTTATGTGGTCAATGCATCATAAATATCTTTATCTTACAAGAGGTTAAGTCGTGAACAAGATAACTCACTGATATAACATTTCAGGATATGATACTAGGTGATTAGAATTCGAATCCTAGAGAAAAAACACTGATTTCCCCAAGATCACAACCGGTACATCAGGATGATGAGTGCCAGATAGCGTAGAGACGTCATTGTCAATTCAAATCCCATAGTATTAGAGGTAGTAGAAGTATTAGCAGTAATGGAGAAGATTCGAGTTCGAAGATATGATTCAAGAAGTATAATCTAGTTTGATAAATTTAGATTGAGAAAAAACCAGTCAACAGGAATTCAGTAGATTAGAATTTGAGAGAAGGCATAGAATGGATGCATCTTTGTCATTGCAAATGATTTTGAGCCATGCGATTGAAGGTCTCTAACCATCGGTGACTTTCGTCTTACAAACCCTAACCAAGGTAGTCTACATCTATCGACATGGCTCAGTCCACTTGTCAGTGACTTCATGAATTTATACCGTGTTTTCGTTTGGCCGCCCCTTGATTTCTTACAGCCTATTTTTACACCACAAAAAATCGCTCATCGAGGCAGTCAGTGGTTAGGCATACACAACACATGTCCTAAACACCTCAACTGATGAACTTTCAATAATTATCCAACTGATCTGCCATCTCTACCAAGTATTCGTTTCCTTACTAACTATCACTTACTCAGTGGACCCAGAATATACGAACAATGCTTCGAAGACACTTATGATCGAATACTTGTAACCTACGAATATGCTCTCTTCTTGCTAGCCATGTTTCATACTCATAGAGTAGGACAGATTGAAATTGTCTTTTAGTCAGTTGGCAAACAACTTACCTTCACCAAAAAATGTAACACAAGTTAACAAAATCCGATCGAACCATGCCGAAATTTTGTTAAAACTATTGTAGTGAACGAGAACACAGGTGGGGCAACCGGATTGTATTTAACGAAAATTACAGAGTTACTCAGTAAAATAGGGAAAAACCATATCGTAAATCGTTCATTTGCAAATCATCAGTCCATCATATCGAATTGGACTGTTCCTGTTGCAAAACATCAATCCATTGTCACTCACTATTCATGCGTTTCATACAAATTCCATTGTGTTGTAACTCTTCCTTTCTTGATCTTCGCCCATCTTCTGCTGTCAGACATTACGTTGACACTCACGTCATATACTACTTATAAGTAGCTCGCACCACACTATGGTCATCGATTTTTCTTATCAACACAACTAAAAATGGCTCCATTTTGTATTTTTAAACAAAAACTATTTGACATTGAATTCAGTTTTTTTTGTTTTAAATTTACCTATATTTCTCTAGTATCTTGGACCGTGGTATGAGAATTCATCAAAAAGCGCCCAGATTCTTCACACAACCAATAATGATAGTAGCTCAGTGAAAAAATTCACCGGTCACCAGGATGAACAACAACAACAGCAGCAACAACAACGTGAGAGATTACTGGAAGGCATTGCTGAAGCTAAAACCACCATTGATTTATTTTTAAATAATCGATTTGAAGAGGCCAAAAATCGTCTACATACAAAAAAGTAATGAGACGTAAAAAATTATTTCATGATGCATTTTACTTAATTCTTCCTTTTTTTCTGTTTGTTTGTTTGTTCTAAAAAGTACACATAGTGGTAGTGGTGGTATGTATCAAGAATTGGCGAATTCGACAATACTGTTCATTCAAGGAATGGCTACAATTGAGAATGTAAGTATATTGTGAATGTGCTTTTTGATGCATTACTTACTTACTTACTTACTTACTTACTTACTTACTCACGCCTGTTACCCCTCAATCGAGGAGCATAGGCCGCCCATCAGTTTTCTCCAACCATCTCTGTCCTGGGCTTCCCTCTCCAATTCTGTCCAGTGTTTGTTCATTCCTCTCATATCTTTCTCTATTTCTCAGCGTAATGTGTTCCTTGGTCTTCCTCTTTTCCTTTTGCTTTGAGGGTTCCCTAGTGAGGGCTTATCTTGTGACGCAGTTTGGTGCTTTCCTCAGTGTATGTCCTATCTACCTCCGGCGCTTCTTCCTGATTTCCTCCTCCACTGGAATCTGGTTTGTTCTCTCACACAGTTCGTTGTTGCTGATGGTGTCTGGCTAACAAATCCGAAATATTTTGCAAAGACAACTATTAATAAACACTTGTATCTTATGGATGATGGCTTTCGTAGTTCTCCATGTTTCCTCTCCCTACAGTAGAACTGTCTTGACATTTGTATTGAAAATCCTGATTTTGGTTTTGGTTGGAAGTTGTTTTGAGTTCCAGATAATTTTCAATTGTAGAAATGCAGCGTTTGTGCTTTGCCAATCCGCACCCTCACATCTGCATCGGATCCACCTTTCTCGTCGATGATGCTGCCCAGATATTATGTAAAAAGTGTTGACGTCCTCCAAGGCATCTATCTCGATCAAGAGTGAGTGATTTGGTTGGTGCATGTTGTGTTGTGCATCGGAGAATTTTGCTTTTTCCTTTATGTATGTTGAGACCTACTGCTGCAGAGGCTGCTGCTACTTTGATGGAGTAACTTCAGCCTTTTGTATAAGTTTGTGTTGAATCTGAGGAGAGGGAGATTGAGAGAGAGGAGAGTACCTGCCTGACTGGTGTGTGTGTGTGTGTTGAGCAGAGGGTGTAGTGCCTCTTCACATATACTCCAGTTCGCTTACATTTTAATTTGCTTAAGCCCTGTTTTGATTAATTTATTTAACCAAGCCATTTATTTGTATTGCAACAATTTATATGTTGTACCATTCGTTCTTATTATTGTCTGGTATGTATGATGAGCTCACATGACGTGTGTCTCATTTGTCATTCGACCTTGTCAACACTATTCGTCGCTTTTATTCATGTGTGCCTATTTTGCTTGTCGCATGTCTGTCTTATTTTTTGTCTAACTATATAATCTTAGTTACGCTCTAAATCCAGGGATTTGGCGGCTCACTAGACTTCTCCACATCAGTTCATCCGCTTCCTTCGCCCATTCGTTCGCATTGTAATCCTGAGAGTTTGCTCAACAGCCTTCTCCAATTCACGTCGCTTCCTTCGTTTTATTCACCACAATTTTCCACATCGCTTCATAGGATTCTCTTTAGTCGCTCATTCGCTCGCCAGTCACACTACAATCGAATGTGAGGAGTAGCAGTAGTTTTATATGAGGTTATCTGGAAGAGGTTAAGAATAAGAGTAAGCACACATAGAATACACTTACTTCTAAGGGCAGAAAGTAGTCGACGACAATCAGAAATGATGTGATCATGAGATTAAAACGCAAACTGATAGCTGGTGGAGGAGAGTACCTACCTGCTTGATGTGTGTTGAGTGGAGGTAATGTGAGGATTAGTAGTACTGTTATATGAGGTTATCTGGAAGCGGTTAAGATTAAGAGTAAGCACACATAGAATACACTTACTTTTAAGGGCAGAAAACAGTCGATGATAATCAGTAATATCACACAAGTATGAGATTATCAGACAGACTGATAATTGGTTGAGTAAGGCTTCGAATGTAGGTAAATATTTTACTGTTTATTAGATAATTTGAATTCCTATTTGCTTTGTTGTCTGAATAAAAACTTAGTTTTTTTAAAGTTTTTAATGGCCTCGCGATAACTAACTCAAGTTTGCGCTTACTTACTTGCTTACTCAATTACTCAATTACGCCTGTTATCCCTTATGGAACATAGGGGCCACCAACTAACTAGCATTCTCTTTTGGCTGAAACATTACTAACTCTGGTGTAGTCAGAGTAAAATAAGTTCAAGACATGTGATGAACATATACACTCAGATGAACGTTGCCATGGTTAGAGAACAAGAGATCCGCCTACTTCATCCAAAATCTAGAACCAAACCCGTGTAAGCATGATATATTTAGTTTCACACACACTACAAGTTGTATTCATTGCTCCCATGTTAATATCAATTAAACTGAAATTACAGGATGAAAACTGGTATTTAGTTTAAAACAGAAATGTGTTATTCAGTTCAGTTATAAGTAGAATAACTTGAATTATCAGAAATCAATGAGTATAATTAGTTGATGCTGAATGTTAAAATTTTGGATTAGCATATCACAACCAACCATCTTTCGAGAATGAAGTTTGTAAATGTTAAACTATTTTTACTGTAAAAATTAAAAGATTTTACTGTTCATTGTCATCTGTCCATTAAAGACACTTCATAAATTTGTGTTTACTGATATCCAATGCTAAATAGCTTCTTGACCGCTCAGTCCAGCTTGAATGGTTAACTTATCAGTGTCGATAAATAGATTAATTGTGGACATGTACGTTATTGAATAATGACACAATTTGCATGAAAAGGTTGTTGAAATTGTTGAGTTGCTTTAATAAATCATAAATCGATCAATGTTAGATCACCACTGTTAGAAACCTGGAAGCACTGGACTGCTGTTTTGTCCTGGCACGGGACTCATCAGCAGTCAGCATCCACGAAACCGTTAGATGCCGGCTCATTGGTGGTTCAGAGGTTAAGAGTTCTCGTGTAAGACCGAAGGTCCTGAGTTCGAGTCATATGAGCAGCAGGAGTCATGGAGGTGCACTGCTGATGAGTTCAATACCAAGACGAGACGGCCGTCATCAAGTGTTTCCGGGTTTCTAATGGTGGTCTAACATAGATTGATTGATGATTTCAAATACAACACTTTTGTTCAAACTTCATATTTTTTCATCAAGAATTTCTTGTGTATGTACTGCTGAGAATGTACGAACAAGTAAAAAACAGTTATTTCATGATCTCTCAACTTTTGTTCATTCAGGTTAGAAAAAAATCACAAATAGAAGTCAATCTATGAACAACAGTTCAGATGTACATGTTTTAACTTGATCATATGAAATACTCATCGATATGTTATAACTAGACAGTAATCTTTGGGAATTAAAAATGAGACAATATGGACTGATATCCAAAAAGCTGTGGAAACAGCGGTGCCGTTAAGGTAAAAGTTATCTCGTCTAGCCCTGAGTACGATGAGGAGTTGGAGGCAGCTTAAGCACATGCTGATAAGAAGCCCAAGCAATAATCGCGTCATTTGGAGATAGAAAAAGGCGGCAGCGATAGGAAACAGTAGACAACTATTCAGGAAACAGTATTAGGATACCGCTCGGAAATTCCTCTCGTCTAAACATGATGAGGTGCAGAGGTAGCTTAAGAATATATATGCCAATGAAAAGCCTAAGCAATGATCACGAGAGAAAATAAGCGAGATGGAATAAACAAAGGCGATAAGTAACAGTAGACAACTGTTCAGATTTATCATCGTTTATCGTTTGAACTCAATGGATATTGGCTTTAAATACCAACACATTATTTTATTAAACTGTTGAGTTCGTACAGCCTTCTGTCATGTTCAATGTTCATTCGTGTTCAATTTAGTAATATAAGCTTGTAATTCCTCATTGAGCACTACAGTTGGATACCTTCTGTTATCGTTTACAGTTATTCGGATTTTAGTAGTCTAAAAGACTCACTTTGGAAGCAATAAGTACTGGATTGGAATAAAAATGTGAATACTAACGCGGATGAAAGTACATCCATATGACGAGTTCCATATTGAACTAATTAAGCCATTCAGATACATTTGATAGCCACCTACTTAATATGTCTATAAAACGTCTAAAATATCCCATAAAAAGACCGCCTGTGACTACTGGTCTCAATCACTTGTCGCTTGCGCTTTGCATTAAAGCTTCCAGGCCGTTGAGACTAACACTAATCTAAGATCCTTCACAGGTTTCTCAAGAAATATTCTTCCATGGTGTGGGGGCAGCCGGTAAGTGATATCCTCCCACATACCGGTAACAACACACGAGACCAAATTAGTCACAATCAAATCGCTTCCTACACCTAAAAAACTAATGGCTTTAGAGCTTACATCACAGCGGTACACTTAAGATTCATTTACACGAACAGAGATCGATCCAATACAGTCCTTCAATTGTAAAAACGTGAAGATTTTACTGAATCTCTAATGAACCAAATAACTCACATCTATTGTCAGAAGAAACTATCAGAAATTTGTACTCAGTAATAATAATAATAATAATATTAATAATAATAAGGCATTATCGATTAGTTTTATCAATGAGATCACATGACCATTGCTAAAGGCCAATAATACACATGCGTATACAATACATGTTAATAACATAATTAACCAGTTGATAGTAGTATGTATTGATTTTGTCAGTTAAAAAGAAATATAGTTGATCGTGTATAATCCTTTGAATAAATTCATCTGTCTGCATAAGAGTTTGTAAGCGATAAGAGGAGATTTAGAAGACGTATCTTAACCATTAGCTTTTAGATTACTTACTTACTTGGTTGGGTGGGACATGTGTTATGTATGCTCAACTAGTGACTGCCTCGACGCGCGATGTTTTGTGGTGTAGGAAGAAAACCAAAACGTGTCAGAAAATCCATGAAGTCACTGACAAGTGGACTGAGTCATGTTGGTGAGTGTAGACGATAGTAACTTATGATTAGAGACCTTGAATGACATGGCTCAGAATCATTTACAATGGCGCAGGTGCATTCATTCTTGACCTTCTCTTAATTTCTAACCCTCTGGATCCTTCCTCACCTCTCTTTTTAAATTTATTTCACTGAATTGCACTTCTTGAATAATATCTTTGAACCCTAATCTTCTCCATTACCGCTAATATTTCTATTATGTCTATCACTATGGGATTCGAACTGACAACTGCGTCTCTGCGTTCATGTAGTATGGCAACCTGAACTTATGTACGAAGTTTTTCTTTTTAACTATCTGACTAACTAACTAACTAAGTTACTTACACCTGTTACCCCTAACGGAGCATTGACCACCAACCAGCATTCTCCAACCTACTCTGTCTTGGGCTATCCTTTCTAGTTGTTCCCAATTGCTATTCATTCTTTTTATGTGTATTTCCAATCCTCGGAGTAATGTGTTCTTTGGTCTTCCTGTAAGGCTAGCTAACCAGGAAAAAAGTCAATCAGAAGATGGAGTAAGGATTTCAACGTGAAAGTAAAAAAGCGATGCGATCAATAAAAATGAATACAGTCAATTTTCGTACATTGAGTGTAACGTTGTTACATTAAGCTGAACTACGTATTCTGCTTCTGGCTTGAAACGATAAGTAATTACATCTCTTAAGGTTCTATGATCTCACATTTTTTTGGGAGTTTTCTTCGTTTGAGAGGACTGAGGCAGGCGCGGAAGATTGTCTTGTGCAAATTTACACTCTTAGTCAATTAAAAACGAAAACATTACATTGAATACACTCTATTTGCACACCATCTTTAAGTCGTGACTTCCAACACTCAATCCTTCTTCTATTCCTGTTGTTGCTTCCTTTACTTCCTGTTGGTACTACTCCATTTACTTCTTGCTTTTGCTCCATTTGCTTTCCGTTTTCCTCTTCTGACCGTGAGACTTCTTCTTTCACGTCCCTTCTTATACTACTTATATCGTTCGTATAAGTAGCACACACCACACATAGACCTGGAGATGTTTTGGTTGTGGAGCTTTCATTGTTGTTCTTCTGAGCACAACATCATCAATCAGCCACACAAACTTCAAGTAGAAGTTCCATAATCAAAAACATTTTTACCTCAGAAAACGAAACTCCACTAAAATCATACACCTTGAATTATAAACTTTGTCCACCATCTCATGCGAAACAGTTATTTTGTGTCAAATATCGATATAATTATTTTTCGTAATGATATTCCATACATAAAACACAGGATTGTGACAATCTACCCTTAAATAAATGAGTATTAGTTGAAAATAGTTGAATCATGTTAAGAGTGAAACACTTGTGAGCAATGATGATTGAAGTTGAAGGAGTGTATTGTTGAATGCGAAATCAAATAGTGTAGTCATGATACCTGATGATTCGAGAAGTCAGATGTACATGTGACACGACAAGAGTTTTAGAATATATTACGTATTCTCATTAATAATACGCAAACTAGATGGATGACTGAGTTTATAATAACACCACTCACTGTATTGAAAACTCGAACATCAGACTACACAAAGACTGGAGCATAGTAGTATATCAAGATATACAATTCGTGACGAAAATAGCAAATCGGAGTAAGCGATAGACGAAATTTTATTCTACAGCACAACCACAAGTAGTCATACTCAGTGTGTTCGGATTAGGAATCAATAATAGGGAGCGAATTCACATATTTAGTAGTCAGTATGCTGTGTCTGGTCTGTTTGTCCACACTTGATGACCAATTACACTTTACTTTTACCCTTGGCACATATCAGTCCATCAGCCATATTGTAAAATACTGTCTAGCTTTAAATCATACTCGAAACTAGGTCGATTTTTAATGAACGTTACCTACAAATGAAGTTGATCTTTTGACTAATCCCCAGACACACAGACAGACAGATACAAAACAGAACTTCGTACATAAGTAAATCAGTTCAGGTTGCCATACTACATCAGCACAGAGAAACAACTGTCAGTTCAAATCCAAGAGTGATAGCGATAGTAGAAGTATTAGCAGTAATGGAGAAGATTAAGGAGCGAAGATATGATTCGAGAAGTACAATTCAGTGCGATAAATTTAGAAAGAGAAAGACAGAGGTGATGAGAAATTCAGAAGGTTAGGATTCTAGAGAACACAAAGAATGGATGCACCTGCGCCATTGCAAACGATTCTGAGTCATGTTGTTCAAGGTCTCTAACTGTAGTGAAGAGTACACCGGTGGGGCAACCCAATTCTAATGCTTCACTTCTATCTGAAGTTCGTGCTGATGATGTTGTTCAGAAGAACAATGAAAGCTCCACAACCAAAACAACCAGCTCAGAGAACGAAACACCACCACAAGCAACCCAATTGTGTTAAGCGAAAATTACAGAGTTACTCAGTAAAATTGGAAAACCATATCGTAAATCGTTCATTTGCAAAATATCAGTTCATCATATCAAACTGGACTGTTCCTGTTGCAAAACATCAATCCATTGTCACTATTCATGCGTTTCATACAAATTCCATTGTGTTCTAACTCTTCGTTTCTTGATCTTCCCCCATCTTCTGCTGCCAGACATTACGTTGACATTCACGTCATATACTACTTATAGGTAGCTCTCACCACAGCACCACATAACCATTGATGACTTTCGTCTAGCGGACCCCAACCAGGTAGCCCAAATCTACCAAAATGACTCAGTCCACTTGTCAGTGACTTCAGAGGCAGTTACTTTCTGAAGATTGTCTCTCGGCTGCACACAAATAGTGCACCCGCAACCGGTGGAGTGAAGAAGCCCCACCAATATAGACCTGGGAATGTTGCTTTACGGGAGATGCGTCGTTACCAGAAGAGTACTGAGGTCTTGATCCGTACGCATCCTTTCCAACGTTTGGTCCGCGAAATCGCCCAAGACTTCAGAAATGACCTTCGTTTCCAGAATTCAGCCGTCTCAGCGCTCCAAGAAGCCAGTGAAGCATACTTAGTTGGATTGTTCGAGGACACTAACTTATGTGCCATCCATGCTAAGCGTGTTACGATTATGCCAAAAGATATCCAGCTTGCTCGACACATTCAAGGTGAACGAGCCTAGATAAGTGTCAATGTAGAGGAACCCAGAGAACGATGAAGAAGATAGATATTAACACTGTTGTTTACTGCCTCACTAGTCTCAAGTTTGAGCGTTCGCGCGCAAAACCGCAAAACCCTGCTCACTCTGTTCTAGATGCGAATTACTGATGAATTCCATACTAGAAACAGACCTTACAATCTGTACAAACTTCATACAGTAAACAAATCATTGTTAACTGAATTAATTCTTGTCTTTTTAGGAAAATCTTGAATTAGCCAAAGAACAATTAAAAACCACATTGAAAGCATGTCAAGCAAATCGACGTAAAGCAGCAATCACAGAAACATTCACTAAACAAATGGAAAAAAGTCGTAATACAATTTATGCCTTATATACGGATGGTAAGTCGTTTCATACTTTTGTGTATAAATGTTTTGTGTCGTGTGATGTTTTTTCCTTCAAGAATTTCTTTCTTCTATCCTTCCTTATACAGTTCAAGCCTAATGATGTTGAAGTTGGCTGTCTACGGAATCTTTCATCATTCAGTTTAGCAACACCCGGTTGAAAACTATGTCTGGAACTGAAAAATGTATGATACCGCTGTAGTTCTCTCAATTGTTAAAATCTCCTTTCGTCGGTATCTTGATGAGGTGGTATCTTTCCAGTCGGTTGGTGCCTGTCCTTTCTCCTAAATCTTTCTGATGAGAATGTAGAATGCCGATGACATAGTCCTGCTTGGTGAAGACGCTGACAAGATGCAGAGTCTTGTGACTACCCTAAGCAACAATGCAAGCATGTTCGGGATGCGGTTCTCACCCTCGAAATGCAAAATGTTGCTTCGAGATTGGGTTGCATCGGCACCTGATCTAGTGATAGGGAGTGAAGTAGTCGAGCGTGTAGACCGCTTCACTTATCTGAGGAGTCTCATCAGTGCTGATGGCCTGGTGACTGACGAAATCTCAGCACGGATACAGAAGGCTCGACTGACTTTTGCCAACCTGTGTCACTATGGCGTAGGCAAGATATCCGTTTGCTAACAATAGGATGAGTATACTGCACATCGGTTCGCTAAATCCTTCTTTATGGTTGCAAAACATGGCTAGTCAGAGTAGAAGATATTTGTAGGTTACTGATTTTCGATCATAGGTGTCTTTGAAGCATAGCTGGAGTATCCTGAGGCCACAGAGTAAGCAATGCTGTTGTTAAGAAACGGGTGCTAGGTAAGGATGACAGATAAATCGATGAAATATTGAATCTTCATCAGTTGAGGTGTTTGAGACATGTGTTACGTATGCCCAGCCTCCGACTACCTTGACAAGCTATGTTTTGTGGTATGAGGGTAGGCTGGAAGAAAGCTATGAGTGGCCAAACCAAAACATGGCAGAAATTCATGAAGTCACTGACTAGTGGACTGAGACATGTCAGTAGATGTAGACTATCTGGTTGGGGTCCGCGAGACGTAAGTCATCAATGGTTAGAGACCTTGAATGACATGGCTCAGAATCAGTTGCAATGGCGCAGGTGAATCTATTCTCTGTCTCAAATTCTAATCTTCTGAGTTCCTCATAACTCTATTGTTCCTGCTTTTAAATGTATTTCACTGGGATATACCTTCGAATGATTACCGCTAATATTTCCACTACTTCTACTACTAAGTAATTTTTATCGACCATTCGATCACTATGTGCTAACGTGGTACAGCAACTTGAACTGATGTACGTACGTATAAAGTTCTACGTTGTAACGGACTGTTTGAAATATAAAATAATCTCGAAGAAAAATAATTTTGTTTTACTTAAATAAATGAACATTTTTGAAAAAAAACATATTTTTAATCCCCCTTTTTTGTCTTTCTTAAATTTTTCCAGAACAAGCCCATGCTGAATTATGTTATGCTGAAGGTCTACTTCAATTGGCATTTCTTTCAATGTTACAAGATGAAAAATTAGCCAGTCTCATCAAATGTTCTTTGAAAATAAGACAATGCTATAAATGTTATCGGTTAGTTAGTTAGTTAGTTAGAGTACCGTAAAAAAAAGAAACTTCAGATTATTTTGGTGCAGAGTTTTACGAGGTTTGTGTTTGTGTACACATTTTTGAAATCATCAATCAATCAATCAATCATTAGTGTTAGACAGAGCACCATTAGAAATTTGGAAGCACTGGACTGGGGCCGTTTCGTCCTGGTATGGGACTACTACTCATCAGTGGCAGTGTGCATACACAAATCCTGCTCCTTGCAGGATTCGAACCTGGGATTGTTTATTTTGATTATTGATTAATTGATTTATACTTCAGCATTATTATGTATATATATATATATATCTAACATATATTAGGGCTACTGAAGTTCTTCGAAACTCCGCCTGAAGCAGCCATTCTAGGGTTACTGCAAGCCCCAAGCCCGGATAATGGAGGAGGCTTAGGGTAAAGGGGTTAGCTACCCCATCTCGTAGAAATCCAACTCGCTTAGAAAAACGCTTATCAGAAAAATCATTCACTAGTCGGCGGCCTATGCTCCATTAGGGGTAACAGGCGCAATTAAGTAAGTTCTTCAAAGGATTCATTCACTTTAACAGGATCAATGAATTTCAACTAAGTAATAAGGTTTTAATATATACAGCATTAGTTAGACATTACCTAACGTGAATATATCTTACACCAATGGACAATTTCGCTCAACTTTTATCGCTCAACATCAAAATCGGATTGTCTCAGTGAGTAATGGTGATTTGAATCCCTAAAACGGTAGTCGTTCCATTCAGCGTTGAAGTGAAACTTCACCGAAGTGCCTCAATTAACAGGATATTTATTATCATGCTCTAGACTTCCTATTAACTAATTACAACGAGATGATATTCACAGATAATGCATACGATTTTCCAGTCACCTTTACTGAATGACATTCGGATCAATACGATTCGATCAATATTCAATATTGGAAACAACAAAACTCCACTTACTTTCACAGTTAAAATCACGCATTGATTTTGACTAGTAGATCATTGAACACTTGAAAGCACTAGTTAGCCATTTCGATCTAGGTCAGCAGTGAGTACCCATTACCTCCGAATACCGCAATCGGACCTAGGACCTTTGGTTTTGCATGCGAATGCTTAACCTCTAGGCCGATGAGTCAGTATCCCATGGTCTTAATGTTTGACTTCAATCAATCCACGCTGTTGCACAGTCTTCATCCATTGTGCTCAAGTGAGCAACTGCCTTACATCCAGCCCCATTGGTCATATTTTCTTACTGGGACTAGTCACACTAGTCACACGCACGGTTTATTGTTAATGAAGATTGTGTCTTTCTTCCGCATTAGAAGCCTGCTAACAATGAATGATAGTATATGTCCACTCCTTAGCTATGCATGCATATTAACAATCCTCATTGCTTCTAGATTTTTTTTAAATGATTGACTAGTTAAGATCAAATCATGAAATTACTTGTCAAAATAATGTTATCGGCATAAATTAAATAAATATCTTTTCATTACAAATAAAAGTAGGAGATAATTTATAAATATTCTTTTTGCACATTGAAATTATGAATGAATTATTGTTGGACCAGCGGTAGAAACCTACAATCTCTTACCGGTTAAAACTGTTTTCGTTTTGAACATTAGAAACCTGTAGGCACTAGACAGCTATTTCGTCCTGGTATGAGGTTTCATCAGCAGTGAGCATTTACGACTCCTGCTACTTGTTGGATTTGACTGCAGGACCTTCGATTTTGTGCACGAACGTTTAACCTCCGGACCACTGGGCCGGCATCCAACGGTGTTAATGTCTAACTCTGATTGATCTAGGGATTTTGCGCAACATTAACACCGTTGGATGGCGACCCAGTGGTCCGATGGCTAGGCGTTCATGCACAATACCGAAGGTCCCGGGTTCGAATCCTGCGAGGTGCAGGGGTTGTGGATGCGCACTGATGATGAGTCCCATGCCAGGACGAAACGGCCGTCATCCAGTGCTTCCAGGTTTCTAATGGTGGTTGTCTAACAATGATTAATTGATGATTTCAAATGTGTAAAAACACAAACCTCCAAATCTCTGCCCGAAAATTCGATCTCTGTGTGCCAGTGTATTATGGCAACTTGAACTAATGTACGTACAATCAAGGTCCATGGTGTAACTGAATAGTTTACTGTATAACCAATGAATATTTTGATTTGAGTGTTTTATATAAATTGATATAAAGGGAATTTTTTAATAACTGAAGATTGATACCAGATTCAATAACTCCTACTTAGTTTTTGTTCTTATAGATTGAAAAAAATTGACTTCTGGACTATCTACACTCAGTAGTTAATTGAGTAATATGAGAGTGTTTTTAAAGTGAACACTACTAAGTTCCAAGTCCCACAGTGAATATCAACTCTTTATTGTGGCAGGTATATTCAGCTACAGACGAGTAGAGGAATTAAACCTGTGTATCCTGGATCCCACTGCTAGTCACAATTCATTACCGCGCACAATAATTATAACATAATCTCCGCTGCTATTCACAGGATTCGAATCCAGGATCTTCCGTCTTGCACGAGAACGCCCAGCCTCTGAACCACTAGGCCAGTATCCGAAAATATCGTATCCTGACTTTGATCAATCTAGGGATTCTGTGCCACCTCAGCTACTTGTCCTCGGTAGGTACTGCCTACACTCGACATAGTCGGACTCCACTGATCACGTCTCCTCACTAGAACTCCGAGAATTTCCTCACGAAGCTACTAGTCACCAGTGAGCATATTTTCGATTTCGCATTGTAGTATTTTGAAGATCATAGTTTTTACACACTGACTTCATCAAAATACTAAGCCTTCATGATTATAAGACAAATTAATTCCTTATTCATTGATCAATAGCTAAAAAATGTTCAGTATGGTGTTGTGAAGACTTTTGAGTTTCATTGAAATCATGAATTGATCGATGTCAAACGAACAATGGAAACTACCACCTAGTGGAAGCACTGTTTAAACAGTCGGTCCGTCTTGGTTTGAGATATCCCAACCGCTCGAATTTACAACACCCACAAGTGATAACCGAACACAGGACCTAAAATCTTGCACGCGAATGCCTGGCTTTCAGACCAGTGAGCTGGCATCCATCCGGAGTCGATGACTAACTTTGATCAGTTCATGATATCGCATGACCATTATCCGTTGTGTTCTGTGGTCAATAGTTTCACAGCCGACATGGTTGAACTCCACTGATCATGTCTTCTTATTAGAACTCTGAGAACTTCCTCTCAAAGCTAGTTACTAGTGAACACAAGATCATTGTCATTATAGAGTTCATGTTCAATAAGATTTTGTTTCAACCCTTCTCTCACTTTATCTTTCGTGTAGTTGTGAATCACCATAAAAACGCTGAAACTTCATGATTAGTACAATTTCATTGATCAATAAATAACCATTCTGTTCAAATTTCAGGTTAAATAAATTTCAAGGTTATTATTTTAATTTTTAATAAAAGTGAAAATCAATATTAGAGAAATAATTATTACTGTCTAAAAGTGTCTTCAGGTGTCATAACTCTTCTAAATGAAGAAGACATTCCAACTCACAGGGTACAGTTTAAAATGGTATGACTTGGTTTTACACGCGATAAGGTCGCTAGCCGCTATGCCCAATGCCCCTTCTTTTTCTGAGCTTGGGTTCGGCAATAACCCTAGAAGGATTTCACGTGGAGTTGATGATCATTACATAACCCTTTAATTTTTAAGTCTCATCAATTGTCATTTCATTGTTCTCAATATTTCATGACTGTTTGTTTTCAGATGATCGGAAACTTTGATAAACTAATCAAAACTTCAATAGTTATTACGCAGTTTATAACTTATCAGTTTCCGAGGTTCAGTTGAATAATTCCGACTTCCATCTCCCCATCTTGAATATATTTAAATTTCATCTTTCGACTACTTCATACACACCTGTCCATGAGTATATACCATAATTTCTCACGTCATCAGTGTCAACATTGTTAAATATCTTAACATGACACTTTATTACGTACTTAATGTTAACTGAGTCGTTGATAGAAAAAAAATCCATGAAATCTCATGCATTCGTATCGTTCTGTTTCATTTTAGTTCCCTAGTTTCATTTCTATTTTGTTTAATGACAATACAGTCCCAAATGGTGTGAGATAAAATATATATTTGTAACTCAAAAATAGTCGAGTGATAATAGATTTTAGATTTACGTGACAAGGGTACGAGGGCGGATGTCGCTTCCTGGGTGCAAACACCATGGAACGGTATTTCTTGTAGAACCTGAAAAGAAAGGTAGATTAGAGTTGATCTTAGAGGCCTAGAAGCATGACCACAGAGCCCAAAGGTCAACATCTTGAGGTCAGTCACGCACCGCCTTTTTATGTGTAGTATTTAGAGTGTTTGCTCCGTTCTTGCTTAAAAGGCTTTACCACCTCAGACGGAAATCCGTTAGGTGAGGTAGAAAGTGACATTTTTAGGGTCGACCTTTTCTAACCCCTTCCTTCCTTGTGAGAAGGCAGCAATGCTGCAGATGCTGGCCGTCCGAGGTAAACACCTTTCTGCTGTCAAACGCGTCTGCAGTCAGCAGTACGACTTCATTCTTAGACCCTGAGTTGCTGCTTTTAGTCTTAAGCTTGTCCAATCGACTTGCTTGGCATGGTGGGACCTACAGGAATATATGTTTCAGCCATGCGCGATAACACGTTATCGACGACACTTACTTTATATGAAATAACTGTGTGTCACATAGATTTTATAATCATGTGAAATACAGAGAAGTTATGAACTAAGGAACATTGTATCGTACAAGTTTTCTTCAGATTTGCAAATCATGCTTTCGAACATAACGGGGCCACTGAAAAGTATCCAGTCTATTAAGCGGAAGTATATTTTTACCAAATTTATCTTTTTTTCTCACAAAAAGAAGCTTCATTTTTCAAATCGATGAGAAACATGTATTTTGACAAATTTTTATAAGTAGTATAATTATATCATTTAAGTGTAAGCAAATTATCAATATCAATTGCAGTATTTTTCTGTAAGTTAGTTAATTATAAAACAATATGAAGCCTGACACAAATAATTATCACCGACCTGATCACAATTGAAATCGATTCAGTCAGGGACAATCTTTCTCACACTCGAATCGTTTGCGTCAGCGGCACCAAGCGATAAAGTAATGTGAGAAGGGTTGGTCAAAGAGGTAAGAGGGTATAGGAAGGATTTGATTGCGACTAATTTGATCTCATGTGCGGATGTCAATTCCCGTCTGCCTACACCGTGGAAGGGTGTTTATTGTGAAACCTGAAAAGGAAGCGCTGATCTAAGCGACATGGGAGTATGACTGCGGAGCCCAAGGGATAGCTGCTTGAGGTGGGTCACGCATGCCTTTTTTGTGGCAATTTTTCGAGGAGCTAGCCCTGCTCTTTAAAAGGCCTTACCAACAGAGATGGAAATCTGTGGGGTAAGGTGAGGTGTGACATTTTTAGGATCGACCTTTTCTAACTTCTTCCTTTCTTCCTTGTGAGAAGGAAGTAATGCTGCAGATGCTGGTCATCCGAGGGAAACACCTCATTGCTGTCACACCCGTCTGCAGTCAGCAGTATGACTTCATTCTTAGACCTATAATCTGTCTGTCTGTCATGGTATGGCGTAAAGTAACATATGTTCCAGCCAATATAGCTCGCCGCTGAGTCACTACAATAGGCTAATCCGACCACCACGTCAAGATAACAGCTACGTTTAGGTGAGATTGAGTCAGTAAGAGTTGAATAAAAGAATCAATTAACGGTAGTATCAATGATAATAAAACCCACGTGATAGATACTACTCACAACTTAGTGTCTAAGTAATATGCAGTGTGATGTCGCCTAGAAGTTATTATTGAAGAGACAAGTATTGTATCCAAATTTATAGGGCAATCAAAGTGTTTTAAAGACTAGAGGATATATGAAAGAATACAGCCAGAAATCAGTTTGTTTTGTAAATAAACCTATAGAGATATGGTGTACATATTTCGTCACTAAAATGAATCTTCACTGATTATACTGCTAATCCATCTGGTCTCGACATCTTCGTACATTACACTCAGTCAGAGTGAACAGTTAAAAAGAACCAATCTGAAACTATCTGCTTTAAGGTCTTCAACCGAAAATGATGAGAAATATCAGAACAAAACTGCATTAAAATTTTTGAATAGTGAATTCGATTTAAGTAGCTTATAATGCTATGTATTAACAGATTTTTGGTCTATTCAGTACTCTTTCCTGTATCTTCATTTGTTGGTGTGTTAAATTCTGGATAAGAAGCTTATAATTAACTGTAAAACACACAATATTAGACAGTTTAATTTCTCTTGAATCGCGTTAAATTGACAAGATTGTGTTTCTAAAAACTAAAGTTTATTGCTAATCGGTACCTTCGATTTTGATGGGACTGATACTCTCTTAAATCTCCGTTACTCAAATTTATATTATGATATAACGGTATAAAGCTATTTCGTCCCTGATTTACCATCCGTAAGACTGAGAAATTCATAACTGACTAATCACCAAGTTGTAGACGGTTTTATAGTGATCTAATTCTTTGGTAATAATTACCTTTGACTGAACAACTAAGGATGTGATCGCTTATCCAACAACTCAACATTGCTAGCACAATTTCGGGATACTAGGTGATTTCAGATAATCTTATTGATACCCTAGACTATTTTACATTTAATACACTTACTTCTGTTACCCCAAATACAGCATAGACCACCGAACAGCTAATTATTTTTCCTGGTTAGCCTTTTTTATTGAGTTGAATTTGTACGAGATGCGGTCGCTAACCCTATACCCAACCCTCCTCCTTTATCTGGGCTTGGGACAGGCAGTAACCCCTGTAGGGTTTCAGACAGAGTTATTCTAGCCTATCGATGTGATGGAAAAGAAAGTTTCACGTTCCGTCGATTAGTTATAACCACTGAACATCTAAGGATTTATTTATTAGTCTTATGATTTGCGGTATCCGTGATCTATACGTAACAAACGGTACCCTCCCCAAAAATAGACTACATAAACGACAAAGTAAGGGTTGAAAAGAGTATACTTGAATATACTTGAATACCCATTCGTGTATACACATTCCTCCTCCGTAGAAAATGAAATTATTTCTTGACCAATAATATTCATTCATCCTTAAGGAAACTTCTAATGATCATCAAATGTCCTTCAAGTTTAATCACTTCTGATTGGCTCACTATACCAATTGGTGGTAACTTTGAACCATGAATCAAAGCATCTATATACACATTTATTAAGCAATTTGAATCCGGATGAAGACTCAAATAAATGGGAACTTCGGCAACTAATTCATGAACTATCGATGCGTATAATCTAATTCCTTGAAATCATGATTCGTTCAATGTTGGACTACCACTAGAAACCCTGAAGCACTGGATGGTCGTTTCGTCCTAGTATGGGACTCATCAGTAATGCGCATCCACAATCCTCGCTCGCAGTGTGGTGCTGTGGTGCGAACTACTTATAAGTAGTATATAACGTGAGTGTCAACGTAAAGTCTGGTAGCATAATATGGGGGGAAGATCAAGAAAGGAAGAGTTAGAAAACAATGGAATTTGTATGAAACGCATGAATAGTGACAATGGATTGATGTTTGGCAACAGGAACAGTCCAGTTCCATAGGATGAACTGATCTTTTGCAAATGAACGATTTACGATATGGTTTTCCGATTTGACTGAGTAACTCTGTAATTTTCATTAAATACAATTCGGTTGCCCCACCTGCGTTCTCATTCACTACAGCAGGAATCGGTCGCTCGCGCGAGCATTTAACCTCTAAACTAATCTAGTAATATAAATTACTGGGTGATGCGATATGGTCTGGTTTTCGTCTAAAATACACTGAAGATCTAGATTTAGACCACGATTAGAAACCTGGAAGTACTAAAAAGAACGGCGTTTCGTCATAGTATGGGACTACTCATCAGTGGCAGTGCACAACCACGACTCCTGTATGAGTGAGGTCGCACAAAATCTGTAGATTGATCAGAGTTAGACATTAACACCCTTGGATATTGTCGGTCCAGTGGACCAGAGGTTAGGCGTTCGCGCATAAGGTCGAAGGTCCTGCGCCTGCATCCTGCGAGTAGTAAGAGTCATGGATGCGCACTGCCACTGATGAGTTCCACACCAGGACGAAATGGGCGTCTCTTGATGCTTCCAAGTTTCTAATGCTGGTGCTCTAACAATGATTGATTCATGATTTCAGTCTTTCATAGTTCTTTCATGTACGTTTCATTCGTCATCTACTTTTATTCAACTAATTAATACTTTACAGATTATGTTGGAGAATATTGAAATATCATAATTGGCAAAATCCAATCAGCAAATCAGCATTTGAAAGTGGTGTACATTTAGGTGTTGGAGCGTTTAATTTAGTAAGTGAGCTTATTTGATTTTGTGATTTTGTGATTTTGTTTACTATTTCACATTCACAGTTCCATTTTGATGATGATGATGAATGATGGATGGCTTTTCATTTCTGCAGCAACTTGAAAAATAGTCTTCCAATCTCATACAGTGTCCGAACGTTCCATGTACTACCTAAAAGAATCGTTGCGCTGCTTGTTAGAAGAGGCATCGGCCTCATGACTTCTGAGGAAAGTCGGCGTTCATCACGCAACGCCATAATTCTTCCTCCAACTCCCAGGGCAAAGTTAAAATAGTTTGAATTATTTTTTCTGGTTAGCGTTTTTTGGTGGGATAGGGTCGCCAACCCCATGTCCAACCCTCCTCCTTTGTCAGGTCTTGGGACTGGCAGTAGCCTCGAAGGTTCTACAGGCGGAGTTATGATGGATGACATATATCCTATACTCAAATAGCTTAATATATAATAACATGTGATTAGAGTTATAGAGATAAGTGTTATTTTACACATTGAACTGAATCAATCAATCATTGCTAGACCATCATTATAATCCTGGAAGTGCTGGCCCTGTGGTCTAGAGGTTAGGCTTTGGCGCGCATGATCTAAGATCCTGGGTTCAAATCCTGCGAGGTAAAAAAGTCTTTTTCAATGAAATGTAAATGATGAAAAAGAAAGCTTGAAAATTGAACAAAAATGTTGGCAGATTTATTCAAAATTTAACTCTATTGAAGTATTATAAAAAGGAACAGACAATTCATTGTGATTGTAAATGAATTCTTTGTAATATCTTGAATGTTTAGCGCCTAGTCAAGTCAGAAACAACGTTGAACTTCGTACGTACGTACATCAGATCAACTTGCCATACCATATTAGCGCAGAGACATCGATTTGTCAGTTCAAATCCTGTAGTGGTAGAAATAGTAGAAGTATGATCGAGTAATCGGAAAGATTAGGGTTTGAAGATGTTATTCAAGAAGTATAACCCAGTGATATAAATTTCAGATGAGAATGGTGAAGGTGATGAGGAATTCAGTAGGTTATGCTTTGAGACACAACAGAAAATCGACGCACTTACGCTGTCGCAAACGATTTTCGTTCACTTCATTCAAGGTCGCTAACCATCGATTACTATCATCTCGTGGACCCCAACCAGGTAGTCGACACATATCAAGATGACTCAGTACACTTGTCAGTGACTTCATGGATTTCTGCCATGTTTTGGTCTGGCCGCCCCTAGCTTTTTGCCAACCTATTCCTACACTACAAGACAAAGCTCGTCGATGCAGTCGGTGGTCAGGCGTTCGTAACACATGTTGTAGCAACTACCTCAACTGATGAAGATTCACTACTTCATCAATTGATCTGCCATTCTTACCTAGCACCCTTTTTTAGCACCAGCATTGCTTATTCGATTGTCGAGTGATTAAGTAGTATCTCATGGGATAATAGGGAATAAGATAAAAAAATTTCACGTTGAACTGTATCTATATTAGGCTTGAACAAGTAGCTAGTATGATTACTTATTACATAATATATGATCATAGTTTTGATTTTTATTTCCTTAAATATGAGGGATCAGCTGGTCACTGATTTTGTTCCTGTAAAAATCTACTTGTTTTGGGTGAATTTGTTTGATTACATGGCGAAATAATAATAAAAGTTTAGTGATGATAAATGTTAGTTAACGTAATACAAATCACCGAATCCGTTCAAAATACAGTCCAGTAATACATCTTTAACCCGTCTACCACCTCAACTACTATCAAGAATTTGTCCTGATCTAAGTTAAGTCTATTTCATTCATCCTTGCGGCTAACAATTCATGAGCCTGATTGTAACTGATGAATGTATAGGGCGCGTAGTCTTTATTCACTAAGACAATCGATAAGGTCGCGCGATAGCGTAGATTGATTGAAACGCCATCAATGGATGATGGCCCGATGATCTAGAGATTAAGCGTTCTTGTGTGGGACAGAAGGTTATGAATTCGATTCCTACGTGGCGGTGTTGCTGCTCTGACACCCGACCGAAGCTGCTACCGTGACGTGGTGGTCGGGCTTGCCTATCGTGATGACCCAACTGAGCTATACTAGCTGGAACTTAAGTTCCTGCAGGTCCTACCATGTCAGGCTGGTCGATTGAAGAACGATGAGACTAAAAGCAGCTACTCAACGTCTGAGGGCGAATTGGTACTGCTGAGTGCAGAGAGGTGTGATGGCAGTAAGGTGTTCTCACGGACAACAACCAACATCTGCAGCGATGCTGCCTTCTCACAAGGAAGGAAGGGGTTAGAAAACGTCGATTCTAAAAATGTCACTCCTCACCCTACCTCACGGACTTCCGTTTCCGGCGGTAACGGTGCCCACTAAGGGCATTCAAGAGCGGAGCCAACACTCAAAAAACTTCTCATCAAAAGGCCGTGCGTGACCGGTCTCAAGCAGTTGTCCCTTGGACTCTGCGGTCACACGCACCCAGGTCTCTTAGATCAACACTAATCTATTTTCCTTTTCAGGTTCCTCAAGAAACAACCTTCCATGGTGTGGGCAGCCGGGAAGTGACAACCCCTCTCATACCCGTTACAGCACACTGACTGACTGTTGCTCTGACATTGATCACTTCACGAGTTCAACGATTGTCGAATTCATACTTGAACACTTTGTTTACAACAAAACTGCTTTTTTTATTGATTAAATCAAGATCAAATTTGTAAATGATTTTTGTTTATTGAAACTATGTTTTCTTTAGATGATCTCAATGCTTCCTAGACGTGTATTGAAATTATTGGAATTTGTTGGATTCTCTGGAGATCGTGTAGGTTGTTTGAAAATGCTTGGTATTTTTTTGGTGTTCTTGCACTCATTTATTTATTCTGTGTGACTTTTTGTATGAAATATGTTTCTCCAAGAATGTACATATAGATAACTTTAAATGTACCCGTATTAGTTTATTTTGGTAAGTACTTACTTAGTTTACTTAAGCTTGTTACCCCCAACGGAGCATAAACCGCCGATCAGCATTCTCCAGTTTACTCTGTCATGGGGCTTTCCTTTCCAGGTCTGTTCAATTTTTGTTCATTCTTCTCATGTCTGTCTACATTTCTCGGCATACTGTGTTTCTTCCTTGTTTACTTTGACCTTGAGGGTTTTAAGTGAGGGCTTGTCATGTGGCGCAGTTGGTTGCTTTCCAAAATTTGTGTCCCAACCACTTTTAGCGCTTCTTTCTGTTTTATTTACCTGCAGTAGTCTAGTTTGTTATTCCCCACAGTAGATTATAGCTGATGGTGTCCGGTCAACAGATCCTCGGTATTTTACATGGAAAACTGTAAACATACACTTGCATCTTCCGGATGGTAACTTTCTTGGTTCTCCCAGTTGTCGCTCTATAGAGTAGGACTGTCTTGATATTTGTATTGAAAATTCCGAATTTGGTGTTGGTTGATAGCTGTTTTGAGTTTCAGAGGTTCTTCAGTTGTATAAATGCTGCCCTTGCTTTGCCGATCCACATCTTCGCATCTGCATCAGATCCACGTTGCTTATCAATGATGCTGTCCAGATATGTTAAGGTTTTTACGTCCTCCAAGGCATCCCCATCAAGAGTGATTTGGTTGGCGCATGTTGTGTTGGATCGTAGAGTCTTGCTTTTCCCTCTATGTATGTTGAGACCTACTTCTGCAAAGGCTGCTGTTGCACTGGTCATCTCGTGCATTTTTTGTTGTATGACAGAAGAGCCAGGTAATCTGCGCAGTTAAGACCTCACAGCTGCATGTGAACTGTCCATGTATCCCGTGCTTCCCCTCAGCTGTCAACGTTCTCATAATCCAGTCGACTATCCCGGGGGAAGCAGAAAGAGTGAGTGTAAGACACCTTTCAGGAAACCATACTTCAATTGGAACGAGTCTGTCAACTGTCCTCCATGCATCATTTCGCAATGTAGTCCATCAGAAGAATCCCGTCTAATGTTGACAGTTTTATCAAGCAGGCCATACTGTCGCAGAAACATCCTCGAAATAGCCGAGACATTTGCATAATCATGTTTCAGAACTCTTCATGATATCTAGCTTCTTTGAAACAAATAACTGAAATACGCGATGAAGTTTGAAACAAATGGTACTAGGCCCGTATAAGGGCTGAAGATTAACTCTGAGATTCAAGTACATTTAGCTGGAAAGTCTTAAACTGAATGAAACATGCGAACCTCATTCAAATCTATGATTATATCCAGTCATGTAGAGCACTTGGAAATATTTCATTGAGTCTAATTAAATCAAAATCTATCGAGGTCGATGCAATCAAAATAAATGTACAAACAACGACAGGTTTAACAACTAATCAAAATCGAAGCTGACAGAACAAGCTACGAGTCTCATGCGTGCAGATATTCGAATACTTCACTTCTATTTACCTGAAGTTTGTGCTGATGATGTTGTTGTTCAGAACAAGAACATTGAAAGCTTCACAACCAAAATATCCTCAGCTCAGACATCGAAACACCACCACAGTTATCCACAAGAGTTGCTACAAATTTTCTCCACCATCTCGAAAGTCAATGCATTTGTATTGGAGGATAATTTGAATCCTGTGATTAATATTGGGGACTGGAATTTTCTCAATCGAATTTAGCATAAGTGCATCGTGCAAGGATTGTGTTGATAGAGTGTGATTAAGTTCCAAGTATTATAAATAAGCAGTTAAGTACATAGCGACTGTCAGTGGAATCCAAGACATACGTGTCATCTAATTTGGTACTACTCGTCTGTAGCCAAGATGTACCTGTCACATCTGACAATCGATGTTCATCCTGGCACTCAGACGTAGTAGTTTTCACTTCAAATACTGTCACGTTATCCATTTATAACTACTTCGTCCAGATAGTCACTGGAACACAGTTCTATCAGTTCATGTATACAACACAAAAAGTCGAAGTCCGTTGAAATTATAATTAATTATAAAGTGTTTTTTTCTTTCACAAAAAACCTAATGATTTTACATCATTATTCTTAAAGAATAATTCCTTTTATTTCTTATTCATACTGATAACAATTTGAGCACTTATGCTTACTGTGTGTAGTAGTCATAATTATATTTATCTTATCTTACTGAATGACCTGAAAAATTGACTTTCTCAGTTTAATCACCGCTGGCTGGCTGTAATCATGTGATCATTGAAAAGTAAAAAAAAATTTTAATCAATAATTGAAATTACTTTTGATAAATATTAGTCAGCTATATTGTATAGCGTAAAAAAGTTTTGTGTCAACTTGCTATACACTAACTATAGGGATTGAAATTTGACATTTTTTTTCTTACGGGTTTGATTTCGACCAATTTGGTCTCGTGTGCTGTTACGGGTATGAGGGCGGTTGTCAACACAACGTGGAAGGTTGTTTCTTGAGAGACCTGAAAAAGAAAGATAGATTAGTGTTGGTCTTAGAGACCTGGGTGCGTGACAGCAGAGTCCAAGGGACAACTGCTTGAGGCCGATCAAACACGGCATTTTGATAAAGGGTTTTTTGAAGATTAGCTCCGCTCTTAAAGGCACTTAGTGGGCACCCTTACCGACCGACGGAGACGGAAATCCGTGAGGTAGGGTGAGGTGTGACATTCTTACGGTCGAGCTTTTCTAACCCTTCCTTTCTTGTGAGAAGGCAGCATCGCTGCAGATGCTGGTTGTTGTCCGAGGGAAACACCCTACTGCTGTCACACCCCTCTTCAGTAGTCAGCAGTACGACTTCGCCCTCAGACCTTGAGTAACTGCTTTTAGTCTGATCGTTCTCCAATAGACCTGCCTGATATGGTAGAACATTCAGGAACATATGTTCCAGCCAGTATAGCTCGGTTGGGTTATCACTATAGGGAAGCCCGACCACCACGTAGCAGCTACGGTCGGGAAATTTGACATTTGAATTTATTGAATATTGAATGTAGCCGGATCCATTTTTTTCTAACAAAATGTTACAATGATGAAGTTTCATTTTCTGAGATGAGGATGTTTCGATTGTTGAACTTTCATAGTTCTTCTTCCGGGCACAATATCATCAGCCGCATAGACGTCACGTAGGAGAAGTGAATTACTGGAATTGCTCACAGGTAGCTTGTTCTGATGACCTCGCTCTTGATTGGTTGTCGTTGACCTTTTAAAGCTGTCGTTGTTTGCACTCATATTTCGATTGTATCCTCATACGATCAGAGGAGAATGAAACTCTACCTCAGCCACAAATTCCTTCTCCACTACCTTAACTGTTACTCTTAAAATTCGAGCGCTGGTGTAACTTCTATTCATCGGTTCTTGAAAAAGTGTCATTTAAATGGGCATAATTTTGATTATGAAGTGGAAGTATTGGTTGTGTATATATGCTTTTTGAGAAGTTGAAGATTCTCTGACTGTGGTGATATGTAATAATAACGCCTTCAACGTTCAATACATGTGTTCTTTACAACAACACTTCCAAGGTTGTTTTCTTTAATCTTTCTACAGAGGGAAAAACGCTGCTTACTATTAGGCCATCATTTTCATTATAGATTTGATTTCCAGCTCTAACTTTGAACATACTTGTGGGTTTTTATATCTTATGTGTTTTGTTGCACTACACTGGCATGTTCCTAGCAGGCAGTTGAGTGACAATATGTGCGGAAGTTTGAAATACTGTGTTTAGTGAAAACTACACCCCATCATTTAGAGCTTGTTGACCAAATGAATGGGGAAATGACTGACATTAATGTGTATAACACATATTGAAAAAGTTAGGGATAAAGTCAACTATTTTTTGTCTGTTTACTCATCGATGAAAAGTTGGTTTCAACAAATAACAGAAATGTTCACTACACTTACTGAAGAGTATGCTAACACTGTCACTTGTAAAACACAAACGTTTTACTAAATGGTTTCCAAGTAGTATCTGTTACATTCTGAATTCTTTATGTCAAATCTCAATAATGCAATATACGTTCTTTCATGTAAAAAAAAGCCAAAATGTGTTGATACTACTTACAATGTAGCTTATAAGTAGCATACAGTGACAAATATATTTTGTCATTAATGCTCATGGTCTTGACATCCTCATTAATTACAGTAGAATACACTGAAGGCTGATTAATAGAGTTCACCATTTAATAAAATATCCAAAGTGTAATATTGCTTACCACTCAGTAATCATCTAGTCTATGGAAATGAGTTCGATTTATCTGTTCAACGAAAAACAAGGAAGCATTAGACAACTGTGTATATAAATTACCCCAACAGGAATTATACTCATGAAGTTCAGGTCACGCCACGAAAGCTTAGTTATGAGAGTCACTGAGACCGATAAATCATGTTATAGTTTTGATTCCAATCAATTTATGACGAAGTTCGTAGATCGTCCATCGCCATTGTCAACAGCGGCGTTATGTACGATACATTTGAATTCTACAAGTCATCATTTTTCACTGGAAATGTGAAAATATTTGGAAGTGACTTTGGCAGTACTGAAGTCCCGTATGAAGATGGAAAAATTTGTCTAAAGCTTACAGCTGAAATTGATTTTTGATTAGTTTGACATACAGACTAATTGGGCGGTTTTGTCTGTTTAAAGTTTTCAAAAAAACATCAACTCTTTTTTCTCACTTTCCACTAGCTACAGAAAAGGGCGACTACATTTTACAAGAAAAATCTAATAGATTTTGATTCTAATTGCTTCATCCTCCGTTCTTTTACTGGTTGCTGATTAAAAATTGTTTTCTTTTTCAAATGTACGTAAATGAAATAATGAACCGATTAATGTTAGACTAAAATTGGAAACTTGACGGCACTTGAGGACCGTTTTGTCCTACTATGGGACTCATCAGCAGTGCTCATCTACGACTCTCAATCGCGGAGATCGAACCCAGGACCTTCGGTCACGCGCGAGTACACTTGGATTCTAGACTACTGAACCGGCATCCAATGGTGCTAATGGCTAACTTTAATCATTCCAAGGTATTGTGTAACCTCAACTATTGTTTTCAGTGGTTAACTGCCTACACCATACATGCTTGAACTCCACTGGTCATGGCTTTACACTAGGACTCTACTGATTTCCTCACGAAGTTAGTCACTAGTGAGCAAATTTTATGAATCATATGAGGTTGCGCAATACAATACTTCAAAGAATCTCAACAATCTTCACAACTCTGTTATAGAAATCATAAAAATGTACTCATTAATGATCAGTTTCGTGATGAAATTGTCGGAGTTCTAGTGAGAAGCCGTGACTATTGGCCTTCAACCCTGTCAAATGTAGGCAGTTGCCCATTGAAGATAATGAATGAGGTTGAGAAATTCCTTGGATAGATTAAAACTTCAATATTAACACTGTTGGATGCCGGCCCAGTGGTCTAGTGGTTATGCGATCGAGAGCAAGACCGAATGTCCTGGGTCCGATTTTTGCAAGCCGAGATCGTGGATACGCACTGTTGATGAGTTTAATACTGGGAAGAAACGGCCTTCCCCCAATACTTACGTGTTTCTAAAGATGATCTAACAACGATCGATTTACTATTTCGATGAAACCTGACATCTCCACATCTGCATAATGAAAAGTCTTGATCAGTTTCATATTGTATCTTGCAAAACTATATGTTTTCTTGTCTTGAATTGAATGAGATTTTTTTGTCTTTTTCTTATGTATCCAGCAATTCGGTTTAGAACAACTAAGATTAGGTGCAGGAATGCAAGATTCATTACGTGGTCCTTTATGCTCTCTATTATTATTGGCATACGATTTATATGCTACTCACATGTTAGGTAAGTAGTATAATAATATAATGTAAAATGTTTTTATGATGATTGAATAGATATGATGAAAACTATGATTCTGGTGATGAATAAATAAAGGTTCAGTGTATCGAAACGTCTGACTACACCACTAAAGTATATACGCTAAATTGAAGTTCAGTGAAAGAAACAATTTTTCAAAAGAATCGCCTTTTTTCCCTTACGGAATAAACATGTACTGATTGCAAACTTCAGCTCGTGTGGTTTCTGGGGTTATTAACGGAACTGCATATTTGGAAAGAATAGGGTCTCCTGTGATAATAACATAAAGAATAATTATGCCGTGCTTTGATTTGGCCACCTCTAGTTTTCTTCCAGTCTACTCGTACACCAGGCTACATCGCTCATCGATGCAGTTGTTGGTTGGACATATATACAACATATCACTACTCAGTACCCTTTTCCTAACATCAACATTGCTCACTCGAAGATCCCAGGTGATAGGAGCAATACTTCAAAGGTACTTATGATTGAATACTGGTTTTCTACGAGTATCCTCTATTCGTAGTGGCCATGTTTTACTCGTGTAAAATAGGACTGTACCGAACGAGAACACAGGTGGGGCAACCGAAATGTATATAGTGAAAATTACAGAGTTACTCAGTAAAATCGGAAAACCAAAATATCAGTTCATCAAATCGAACTGGACTGTTCCTGTTGCAAAACATCAATCCATTGTCACTATTCATGCATTTCATACAAATTCCATTGTGTTCTAACTCTTCCTTTCTTGATTTTCACCAACCATCTTCTGCTGCCAGACATTACGTTGACACTCACGTCATATACTACTTAAAAGTAGCTCGCACCACAGGACTTACCAAACTACTGCGCGGTAGACTCATCCTTTGGTTCGCAGACAGATATCTTGCCTACCCCATAAATGACACAAGTTAGCAGGAGCCACTTGAATCCTCTGTATCCATACCGAGATTTCGTCATACACCAAGCAATCAGCACTGTTGAGATTCCCAAGATGTAATTGTATTAAATCTTTAAATTTTCATAACTTAGCATGCATTTTGTTAAAATAATTCATATTTTTTTAGGTGACAGTGTTGTCAGTGTATGTAAGTTATTGATTTTTAATTAACAATTATTAATTAATTAATTAATTATTAATTAACAATTAATAACATTTTTAATTCTATTTGGAATATAAAAATTATACAGAGAGAGAGAGAGAGAGAGATAGTCATGATTATTTCATGACACTTTTTTAAAAAAAAATTGGTTTCACCATTGATTTAAACAAAATCTCATTGAAATTTAAACAAAAGTTCAATGTTAAAGAGTGAATATTCTTTTGAAATTATTTGTGATGAAATTCAATTGTTGACAACTTAACATTTTTACACATTTGAAATCATCAATCAATCATTGCTAGACAGACCAACATTAGAAACCTGGAAGCACTGGATGACGGCCGTTTCGTCCTGGTATGGGACTCACCAGCAGTGCACATCCACGACTCCTGCTCCTCGCAGGATTAGAACCCGTTACCTTCGGCATTGCAGGCGAACGCCTTACCATCGGACCACTGGGCCGTCACCCAACAGTGTTAATGTCTAACTCTGATTGATCTAGGGATTTTGCGCGACCTCACCCCTTTGTCTTTGGTAGTTACTGCCTACACCCGACAGGTCTGAACTCCATTGGTCACGTCTTTTCGTGAATGCGCACTGCTGATGAGTCCCATACCAGGACGAAACGGCCATCCAGTGCTTCCAGGTTTCTAATGGTGGTCTAACAATCATTGATTGATGATTTCAAATGTGTAAAAACGCAAACCTCCACAACTCTGCCCCAAAATTTAACATTTTATTAATTTACAACACAATTAACATGTATTTGATTTCGGATCTAAATTTTACACTCTGTTTGAATGATAACCTTTTGAAAATCTATGGTACTTTTTTTAGTAAATTCTACTACGTATTATTGTTAAAAATAGTATCTATCTGCTAATGACGATAACCTGCAAAAAGTGTCTAATTCAGTCCGTTTAAGTCTATCAAAATAAAGACCTATTACCGGAGGTGTACATTGTGCCTGTCATGATCTACGATGTTTCGAAATCTGATCACGATACATGGATAAAGCCACCTTAGAAATTGGTTACTTCAGTGAAAACGCAAGAAACAGTAGAAAACAAAGTCTATTTGGTTACCGAATGATTTGCACAAATACTCATCTAAGGCACAAATGTATTCCATCTCTTTAGAAATTATAGCCATTTTGACCAATGATATACACTGATCCTCATTTGGTCACTTCTGATTGGTTCATTATTATCAGTTTCGATAGCGGTTTATTTAAATGTTGAAAAGTACATTCTAGTTAAAAATTCACTTCAGTGATCAAATTAAATTTAAACTATATTTAACGCTCAAAGTTTTTTTTAGGTACAATCAACATATTTAAAAGTTCATAAGTATTTTGTAAATTTATTGCTTTAAATAGACCACTGAGTTGGCATCCAACGGTGTGTTAATGTCTAACCTCACCCCTTGTCTTCAGTAGTATTGATTAGTGACTAGTTTCGTGTGGAAATTTTCGGATTTCCAGTGAGAAACTGTAACCAATGGAGTCCAATGTTGTTAGGTGTAGGCAGTAACTCGATAATGAAAATACAACATTTGTTGAAAGAATAATGAAAAGTCCGTGATCAAAAATATCCTGCTCACAAGACGAAACTCCATCAAAATTAGCACAGACTACACTTGTAGTGAATGAGAACACAGGTGGGGCAACCAGATTGTATTTAACAAAAATTACAGAGTTACTCAGTAAAATCGGAAAACCATATCGTAAATCGTTCATTTGCAAATTATCAGTCCATCATATCAAACTGGACTGTTCCTGTTGCAAAACATCAATCCATTGTCACTATTCATGCGTTTCATACACAAATTCCATTGTTTTCTAACTCTCCCTTTCCTGATCTTCCCCCATCTTCTGCTGCCAGACATTACATTGACACTCACGTTATATACTACTTATAAGTAGCTCGCACCACACACTTAGTAAATTCATGTTGAATAAGTGTTTATTATCTAATATTATACGTAGAAGTTTATACTGTGCCAAAATCCCCGAGAGAATAACATTTTTTATGACAGAAGCATGTGAAATTTACAGACAAATTCATCATATGATTTAATCAAGCTCTCATTGGTTAACTGGGTGATTTCATACTGAAAAGATTGTTTGATTTTGGGGCTTATAGTCATTATTTGATTTTAACTCTCCTAACATAAGCCAAGTTATATAAATCATTAAGAAATGTATGACCTCAGTTAGATAATCATTGAGACTCGACAAACAACTAAGCAGCTAAATCATTCAAGTAGTGAACTGTTTCGTTATTTAACATATCCATCCTTATCCAAGGTAAAACTCAGGACTTATGAAACTCTTGGGTAAGGAGGTTGTTACTCTTCAGAATACAGTGTTAATATTTGTATTCAACAATTTACATTTTGGTTAAAATCCTTTTATGTTCGTCAGTTGAGATGCTTGAATGCTATTACGAGTTCACCTTAGTCGGTAAACGAGAGCGAAGACAAATGATCTAGTGACAACACGATAGGCTACTACTCTAATCCGAGCGTCACTAACGATATCAAAAAGTCTTGATATTAGCGAAGAAAATGTATTCTACAAGCACTCAGAAAATATGAAGTTTTGTACAGAAGAAGAAGAAGACGAGGAGCCTAACATCTTACAGACGATGTATATTTATACAGTTAGGTCATCCGTGAAAACTAACCAATAGGAAACAACATTTAAAAGTATGTGAACTTGACAGTTTAGGATGACCTTAAATATTGACCAATAGGAACTGACCAATCGGAACTGGCCAATAGAATTAGACTCACAAAATAATTTCTTTAGGATATTTGATGAATATCCTATCAAATCCACAGTTTAGAATTTCACACTAGATTTCTATGAATTACATTTGAATTTAGTCATTGATAAGTACATTATTATTACGATTATTACTAATAATGCAATGTGCTCCATAGTGACCAGCTTCATGTTCTAGTGAGAACACATGACCACTGGAGTTCAACCCTGTTGGGTTTAGACAGCAACTGCCAAACACAAATGGGTGAAGTCGCACAAAATCCCTAGATTGATCAGTGTTAGACATTAACAACGTTGGATGCCGGCTCAGTGGTTCAGAGGTCAGACGTTTGAATTTCACCGAGTAGCAAGAGTCGTGGATAAGCACTGCTTATGAGTCCCATACCAGGACAAAACGCCCGTTCAGTGCTTGCAGGTTTCAAATGATGGTCTAGCAATGATTGAGTGATGATTTCAGTAACTAATATTAATATTGAGGATGCTACTCACAAGGTGATTTGTAAGTAGTATATACCGGAGCATCATTTATATGTTGCTACCATACAGATGAGTGTTTCGAAATCAAATTACATCACATGATCAGCGTATTTTGAAGACCAGGAAAAATGACATAGAAGATAGTTCATAATCTGTTTGCATTAACCTAAGGGATCTAGGAAACTGTTGAACTCAAAATTCTGGAAGCTATAATTTTGTTTTGAAACTCAAAGAATGTTGGTGGTTTGGATTTATATATGAAGTACCAGTGTCACAATGTAATGAACCAAGGCATTAAAACCAGACAGAATCAATGAATTATGTATTTACCAACAAAATGTATACCAGCTTATCTTTAGACTGCCTTTTACAAGACAAGCAGATTCTCATATCATTCTGGTCTTCAAAATACTTTGATTGCTCCATACATCCGTATCCAACACTCATCTCTTCATCAATGATTTCTAGTTGACACTCCACTACATACTACTTCGAAACAACTCTGGGAGTAGTATGCATCACACCAGATCTCATGGCGATATGTGCTAATCCCATTTCCTTAGAAAATGAATTCATTTTTTTGTGACCAATCAAATGCATTCATGCTTTAGGACATTTTCTGATGGTCATTAGATGACCTTCAGATTTGCACACTTCTAATTGGTTCTCTGTTATACCACACATGATTTTTTTTCTTCATTCACCTGATCCAGCTGTATTTGATTTGTTTTTTTTTTGTTTGAAGCATCTGAACAACCAGAACATTTGAAAGAAGCTCGTGAATTATTAGCTCATTGGTGTGTTGTTTATCCGAACAGTGCGATATTCTTATTGTTAGCTGGTCGTTTAGAAGAAATCTCAGGAAATTTACATGAGGTAAGCAAATTGTTGTTGTTCTTTAGAATATGAGATTTGAAATGGGAAAAATAATTTGCTAATTTTTTTCAGTTATCTAAATACATTATACTTTTCATGAAATTGAATCTTATACGTCCCTTAATTGGATGATGAGTTGTAGGTCAGTCAGTCAGTCAGCAACAACGTAGAACTTCGTGCGTACATACATCAGTCCACCTTGCTATACCAAATTAACATACGCAGATGTAACTATCAATTCATATCCTCCTATAGTGGTAGAGATAGTAGATGTATTCACGATAATGGAGAAGATTAGGCTTTGAAGACTTAGAATCCAATGAAATTAAGGGGAAAGATAAATGTGATGAATAATTCGGAAGATTAGAATTTGAGAGAACACAAAGGGTGGATGCACCTGTACCATGATAAGTTGTAAGATGGAAAACAGATAACAACAGGGGTGTATATGTTTGAGGTGTTTGCGTATATCTCGTCCTACTCACATCATTCAACGTTAAGATCTCGTAATGTTAACTACTGAGCTATTCCATATACGGTTGACCTCATGAAGGATTGAGTAATCTATAGTTCAACGATTATTGATTGACCGAAAACACGATGTTTTAGCACTGCTTTAGCTCTGTCTTAGTTGGTGTTACTTTTTGTGACGAAAGTTATTTATCTCCATGAGCTTATATCGACGAAGTACGGAAACTGATCAAGCTTCTAGAAATACTTTGTTTTAATAAATATCTCGTTGAATTAAAAACATATTTTTGACTTGAAAAATCTAGTGTCCTCAAAAAAAACTGCTCAGATAACCTACACTCATCAATCGAACTTCATTAAACATTATCGTTTAAATAATTCATACTACTTATAAGTAGTTGAGTAAAATTTCAAAAATTAAAATGTGATCTTTGGATAATTCAATGTATTTTCTAATCAATTTTTAATCCGAAAAAAGGCTATCACATTATTTCAACGTTCAATAGATTCACAATCTGACTGGATACATTATCATCATCTTTGTTATTGGGAATTAATTTGGTGTTATGCGTAAGTTTGTTTTTTTAATTTTGTCATTTATGGGGAAATTTAAATTTTCTTTTCATGATGATAATCGTTAAGAAGTCAAGTAATTTTTATTCGTCTTCTTCCACCTTCAATTGGATGCGTTCTTTTAATTCGCTGATGATAAAAGATTTTATTGGAGTCATAAAAACCATTGGAAACTTGGAATCACTGGAAGTTTGTTTAATCCTAGTACTGGACTCATTAGTAGTGCTCATTCACGAATTCCGCACTCGAGAACCGAACTTGGGACCTTCGATCTCGTATACTAGGGTAACTTGGCCTCCGAGTGCTTCTAGGTCTAAAGTAACTCAACTATTTCCAAAACTGTCAGATAAAAGAACACTTTTTGAAAAAAAATCTGTTTTTAAGGCTATGAAACTTAAGTGTTTGTTGAATAGTACAAGTATTCTAAGCTACGTTGTAGGAAAACTAGAGACAGTCCAGCTGATGTACGGCTGACTATGTGAATGATATCAGTATGTGATTTAAACGTTGGTCATGAGATAGAGTTTAATTTTTAACAGACAGTTACTATTATTTTCATTAGTTTATATGGTGATGAGTATCTTACTAAATTGGTCAAGAAAAAGAAATGTTGTCTATTCAGTGAGTACAAGCCAATGTCTAGACTTTAGAATTTTACGGAGATCATCAGCTCTAACAAGATTGATGATACATTTTGATTAAAAGGCGGTTATTGACATAGAATCAATGTTCATCATACAGTTAGTTGTAAAGATTGTTAAGTTTCATTGAAAAGATGAATCGATCATTCTGAAATCATGAATCGATCAATGTTAGACCACCACCAGAGAAACCTGGAAGCACTGAACGGCCGTTTCTTCCTGGTATGGGACTCATCAGCAGTATGCAGGAGTCGTGGATGCACACTGCCACTGATGAGTGCCATACCAGGACGAAACGGCCATCCAGTGCTTCCAGGTTTCTCTGGTGGTGGTTTAACATTGATCAATTCATGGTTTCAAAATGTGTTACTTAACAATCTTCACAACACCCTAATGGAATCGATCGTTGTTTGACTAACACATCAGAAACCTGGAAGCACTGGACGGATGTTTGGTCCTAGATCAATCTTTAAGAAATGTTTTTTTTTTCAACATCAAATTATTGGGATTATTGAAATCAGGACAGCTTCATGACTATCTGAGAGAGAACACAAATCGATTAATGGCCCCAGTCCTCGAATATGTTCTAAACTCGGGTCGTAACCAACTGCGTGATTCATCTTTCATTCTTCTCTGCAGGGTGAGAAGAATTGGCTCAAAAAATGGTTTGAATGAGGATTTTGTGCACAGCTGAGGCTATAATAATTGAACATTTCAAACCCGAACAGTGTCTACAGAAAAGTCATTTTTCAATCCCTTATTCTATGTTAAGCTTGACAGCTTCGACACGTCAACACGACAATTGATATGCTTGAACTATTACGAGTTTACCTTAGTCAGTAAACAAGAGCGAGAATCAATGATCGGGCGACCTGACAGACTATTCTAATCCAAGGGTCCCAAATCCCCCCTCCACTAAATAGAAGAATAAGACTTGATATGAAGTAGAACGTGCATTCTACAAGCATCCAGAAAGTACACGGTCCGAGTTCAGAAGTGAATCAGGATCCCGGACTGAAGATCCGGGTCATAAAACGTTACAGATAATTGCATATTCCTACAGTTAGGTCGAATGGGAAACCAAATTTGAAGTAAATGATATTGCTAGTAAGGACAACCAATAGGAATTGACCAATAGAATTAGACATACAAATAATTCTCTTTAGATATTGGATGAACATCCTAACATTGTCCCATGGTCTTAACACCTTATTGGATGTTTAAAAATTATTCATGCCAACTAATACCTTCATCTTCTCTTCCTTTACGGAGTAGACAATGATCTTTAATTTTAATATTATAGATTACCTATTATTACCTCTAAAACTACTACACCACGTGATATGCTGATGAGTTTCCACAACTGCATCAAATGATCAATTACTGATTGACTATAGTAATCATGAAACCGATCAATTTTAGACTACCATTAGAAACATAAAAACACTGGACGGCTTTTTCGTCCTAGTATGGGACTCATCACCAGTGAACAACCGCGACTCTACAAACAAAAATCAGAACCAAGGACCTTCAATTCGATGTGCATGGACGCCTAAGCTCTTTATTATTGAGCTCATATCTGACTGTGTTAACGTTCCACTTCAATCGATCAATCTTCTCCAAACCCTTGATCAGCGGACGAGTTTTATACCCAACATAAACTGAAATACATTGATCACGTTTGTTCACTCACTCAATCAATCAATCAACAGAAACTTAGGACTTCGTACGTTGGTACGTACATCAGTTCAGGTTGCTATACCACATAAGTACAGAAATATCGAATAGCTGTAGATGTATTAGCAGTAATCGGAGAGATTACGGTTCGACGATATTATTCAAGAAGTAGAATCTAGTGAAATAAACTTTGAATAAAAAGATAAAGGTGATGAATAATTTAGAAGATTCGGATTTGAGAGAACATAAAGAGTGGATGCACCTGCGCCATTGCGAACAGTTTCACTAATATCATTCAGGTTCTCTAACCATCGATAATTATCATCTCACGGGCCCCAACCAGGTAGTCGACACCTACCAACATGACTCAGTCCACTTGTCAGTAACTTCATGAATTTGTGCTATGTTTTGGTTTGGCTGCTCCTAGCTTTCTTCCAGCCTATTTCTACACCGCAAAATACAGCTCCATGAGACAGTACGTGGTTAGGAATACACAACATATGTCCCAACCACTTCAACTGATGAAGTTTCAATACTCACAACCAGATTCCTTCCATGGTGTGGACAGCCGGGAAGTTACATCCACGCTCATACCCATAGAGGCACACGAGACCGAATTGATCTTTACCTCTCTCTTATCTCCTCGACTAACTATTCCTTCAATCGTTTATCACGTAGATTTCATTAGATTTCCAGCAATATGTAACCTGTTTTTTATAATTCACACTTGACAATAATTACAAATTACATTTCATCTGTGTTTTTTTTGTACAGATTACAAGCTGATTGGCAAAAAGCTATTTTATACACTGAAAAATTAGCTTTAGAAAGTCGTTGGAGTCAAGCATCTTATCGTTATATGAAAGCAGCTTTCTTACTACAAAGTATGGAAGATCATACGGTGCGTGAAATGAGAAATCATGATGGTATTATTGCAAAACCACAAGATATAGTTGATCAATTATTAACGTAAGTCATAGTTGGATTTTACTGACCACACTACACAGACTGATGTTTAATAATGAGACAGAGAGGGAGAGAGAGTGTGAGCTGGATAGTTTAGACTGCTTGAATTTAACAAGGTAATTATAAGTGAATAACCGATCAGGAACAATTTATTCACAAAAACTGATATGCTTGAAACTACTACGAGTTCACCTTAGCCGGTGAACTAGAGAGAAGAAAAATGATCTAGTGACACGATGGGCTACTCTAATCTGAGCGTCTCAAGGGCCCACTAAGTAGAGGAAGAAGTCTTGACGAGACGTAGAAAGTGTATTTTACAAGCACCCAGAAAATTGTGGTAAACAGGCATACAAATCGATTTTATTTATACATGATAGAAACGTCCTTGGGAGAGCCACAAAAGTAGCATACTAAAATAATCCATCAACCAAAGACAGTCGAGGATTTTCCGAATGGGAAATGTAATCTCAAGGCCAAATGACCAGCCCATGTGCAAAAGCATGATATCCAAAATTAGGACATTTATGAAAGTGAGTTCTGGGGATCTAACATCCCCAACAAAAATATGAAAGAGTGTAACAGGCAGTTGCTTTGATCATACACTAATATAGCAGTATGACCAGGTTGAATACCTATATCACTGGAATGATGTCTTACTTAGTCCTCCAAGTGTTCGCTTCAATGTAGTATGGATTGGATTTCATATCAGTTCACTAAAAGTCAAAGTATTTCGAATTTGATCAATGAGAAAGAGAGAGTGTGTGTAACTTTGAACAACTACTACTGTCACTATTTATCAGCACGTTTTTGTAAAGGTGTTCTCTAGGACAAATAATTCGGTTGTTATACATTAGTGAAGCCATAATTGCACTTGTTTTGTACTACTTATTATTTATAAGTAATAAAAAAATATAACAAAGATTTTTTTCAAGTGTTGGGGTCGATCGATCCCCAGAACTCGCTTGATAAATACCTTAATTTTGGATTTTATGTTTCCGAGCATGGGCTGATCGGTTGACCTTGAGATCACATTTCCAACCAGGAAAATCCTTGACTGTGATTGGTGACTGTGTTATTTTAGTGTGCTATTTCCTTGTATCACGCAAAGACGTTTCTATGATGTATAAATAAACGCGATTTGAGTGCTTGAATTCATTGTATGCTGGCTGGGTGTTTGTAGAATATACTTCCTACTCTATATCAAGACTTTTCGTTAGTCAACGGATCATGTTAGTCTACCTTGACGCTGGTTCATTGTCTCGTTCTCGTTTATCGACTAAGGTGAATCCGTGATAGTTTCAAGCATACCTAGTGACGAGCTTAACATCAGGATGTAATTTTGACTGTTTCCTTACAAAAGTTATGCGCCAATTGATTTAGAATAAACTATTTTAATTAATATTATATAAATAGATTTGAGATTTTTTTCGTATCAAATTTATAGAGATATACCTAACTTGGTAAAACGTTTCGGTGGTCGATCATTACCAATTGAAAAAATTGCATTGAGAAAGTCGGCCAGATATTTTGCACAGAATAAACGGCTAACTCTACCAGCTTTAGTAAGTCTCGGAAGAAGTAATTGCTGTCAATTATTCATTGTATTGTATTGTATTGATCAGTTTCTATTCGGTTTTATTTAGACGATTGTTTGGGTGCATTGCACTTAGTGATATATATATATATATATATATATATATATATATATATATTTTCAGTTCTGTTACGCCTGCACGTATACACGTCAACTTAATATTCTTGAACTATTACGAGTTTACCTAGTCGGAAAACGAGAGCGAGGATCGAGGATCCGGTGACAGGACATACTACTCAAATCCGGTTATCCCGATCCCCCATATTTAGTAAAAATAAGAAGATATGATATGAAGTAGAACGTGTATTCAACAAGTATCGATAAAGTACGAGGTCCGAGTCCAGAAGAGAATCAGGATCCCGGACTAGGGATCCGGGTCTTGGTCATAAAACGTTACAGATAATGCATATTTATATATTTTGGTCGAATAAGAAACAGCAGCGAAGTCTGTGACATTGACAGTTAAGACGACCGATAGAAAGCAATATTTGGAGTGACATTCACAGTCTGGATGACCAATAAGAGACAACATTGAAGTATTTGACTTTGACAGTTATAACGACCATAATTTTGACCAATATAAATCGACCGATAGGGATTGACCAATAATTCTCTTAGGATATTGGATGAATATCCTAACAGAGATGTTAAAAAGTATTTTATAGCACATTTCTTTTACTAATTGTCATTCTGGAATTGTGAAGATTATGAACTGATCAATATTAGACCATTATTGGAAACCTTATCAGCATTAGGCATACACACCGTCCGTTTGGATGCCGACTCGGCAATCAAGAAGTAAAGCTTCCGCTCACGAGATCGAAGCTCCTCAGTTCGATCCATCATTCTGACGAACTACAAATCTTATTGTATTTAAATATCCACTAATATGAATGTTAGTGTTGGGGATGTTAGATCCCCAGAACTCGTTTGATAAATGCCTTAATTTTGGATTTCACGTTTGCCAGCATAGGATGATCAGTTGATATTGAGATTTCATTTCCCACCAGGAAAATACATGGCTGTGATTGGCTGCTGTGTATTTTGGGTGTGCTATTTTCGTCACTATCCCAAGTACGTTTCTATGATGTATAAATAAACGAGAGTTGTTTGCTTGATTGTATTGTGTAATTGCTGGGTGTTTGTAGAATATACTTTCTACGCTTACAAAGCCTTCTTACTTAAGTTGGGGATTCAAAGTAGCCTATCTGAACGCTGGTTCATAGTCTCGTTCGCGTTTTATCAACTAAGGTGAACTCGTCGTAATAGCTTGAAGTGTACCTAGTGACCAACCCTACAGTGTTAGTCAACTATTTTCCCGTTTTATTTTCATTTTAAAACACAGGAACTCATATTCATTTGGAATGGATTCAAAATGATCCAGTCACAACCGGATGCTATCACAGCATTTATTATGATTTGTGAAAATAAAATCAATGAATTATTTCAAACTAAAGGTGAGCTAGTGCTGATCAACATTTTTAAACAAGTGTGGCTGATTGGCGAATTGTTTAAACTGAAGCTTTAAACTCTGTCTTTCTGTCTCTCTCTCTCTAAAGTAGAACAATACTAATTAGTTTAAAAAATGTCTCTCTTAAGCTAAATTGTTTTATCCGCCTTTTATTTTTCTGAATTAATTAAAACAAAATAGCTCATGGTTCATTAAATCTGCTTCATTTTATTCGTGATTAGATAAAGACTTCAAGGTTTAGTGTGTTATACGAAGCCAAGACCAAATGAGATCTATACACATATTGTAAAATCATTTATTTGTAATCTAAACAGCTTACTGATTTGTATTCTTTCAAATCGCTTCTGGTTTTCAAAATGGACACTCTGATCAAGCCATACTTTTTGATGTCTTGACATTTTTTGTTCTCTAAGTTTACGATGCCCTGTTTTACTTTACTCAATTACGCCTGATATGCCTGATAGAGCATAGGCCATCGACCAGCATTCTCCAACTTACTCTGTCTTGAGCATTCCTTTCTATTTCTACTCACTTGTCAATGATTCTTCTCATGCCTCTGTCTCCGATTCTCGACATAATTGTGTTCTTTGGTCTTCTTCTCTCCCTTTGACCTTGAGGGTTCCAGGCTGAGGGCTTGCTGTGTGACGCAGTTGGATGCTTTGCTCAATGTGCGTCCTATCCACGACTAGCTCTGTTTCCTAATTTCTTTCTCTGCTAGAATCTGGTCGACTCTCTCCCACAGCAGGTTCTTGCTGATGCTGTCTGGCCAACGGGAATGCAGTATCTGGTGTAGATAACTGTTAAGAAATATTTGTATCTTCCGGGTGATGGGTTTCATGGTTCTTCAAGTTTCCGCCTCATACAGTAAACGATGATCTACTGCATACTACTAATACGCTACCTTGTGAGTAGTAGCATGCACTAAATTAGAACAAGAAGATGTGAATTTAAATGTTCAGTGCGTATCATAACACATTGTTCAGTTTTCAAGTTATAGACTTTTAAGAAATCAATAGCAAAAAGAGAATGCGAGGATTACAAAACTAAGGAGTCTTATTTTGAATTGCTGAAGGTGCTTTCTTCACTGATCAGTTATCGAACAGTGATGCATTAAGCGTGATCTATTCCTCGGTAGAAATTGAAGGGCGATGATCAGAATAGACTATTCTCTTTACTCATATTTTGTGTCCGTTTTTTTGAAAATCAACATGACGTTTATCTCCTCTTCAGATAATTGATGACCCTTTTATGACTCATTGGTATATCACGCATACCATCCATTGTTAGCCGTTGTAGAACTGAAATATCTCTCGTGAATCATTGTTGAAGGTTACAATTTCCCCTGAGATTGTGGATATGGTTTTCTAATGGGAACTACCGAAATTTAAGTTGACAGAAGGCTTCTGTCTGTTTGTTATGGATGCACGTAAACACCTCAACTTGATATGCTTGAGCGGAGAACGAGAGCGAGTATCGAGGATCCGGCGACACGATATTCTACACTAATCCAAGTGTCCCAACCCTCATATTGAGTAAAAATAAGAAGACTTGATATGAACTAGAACCTGTATTCTACAAGCATCCAGAAAGTACGAGGTCCGAATCCAGAAGAGAATCTGGGATCTGGGACCGGGTCCTGGTCTTGATCATAAAACGTTACAGATAATGTGTATTTATACAGTTAGGTTGAATAGGAAACGGCATCGAAGTCTTCGACACTGACAGTTAAGTCGACCAATAGGAAGTAACATTTGAAGTGACACTGATAGTCAGGACAACCAATAAGAAACAATAATGGAGCACGTGACATTGATATCTAGGACGACCATAAAATTGACCAATAATTCTCTTAGGATATTGGATGAATATCCTAACACTGTTGTCTTTATTTACCATAGTATCAAATACTTTCAGTTAAAACTCTCTCCAAATGAATTATATGATATTAAATGATGGGCGAAAAGTAAATTTCACTTCTTTGTTCTGTATATACAAGATTATGTTGATAAATTTAGGTTTGCATGAAGAAGAGGCCATCAAATGCCTTGGTGCGGTAGAAAGTTAGGAGGGTCCGTCATTCTCCAAATGCTTTCCTACTTACTGCTACTAACTGCTGGAGTGGTGTTTATGAAATTAAGGGGCTACACACCAAATATCCTGCAAAGGTTTCAACCAGGTTGATAGGTATGGAACATCCACCTAGTAGATAGACTGTAAAACCACGATTCTAAACCAACAGTTCACATGAGCTGCATGATCTCACTTTCATTGGACTTCGTCCCATAATGTTTCTTCACTGCGTGGAGAATTGTGGATTAGACCTATATGAGGAAGATTCGGTAAATGACCCCTTCTGATAACTACCTGCCTCGGTTCGGGCACCTGGTCAGTTTCCAAAAACAGCCCTCACACATATCAATCAATTTATGTGTCGTATAAATATATAAATGCCTCTTTTTTTAATCAATAGTTATGCGTTTAAACAAAACTAAGGACTCGATAATTGAATATTTGAACTATAAATAAAGCAAAAAATCTTAAAAGGTCACATTTTTTATCCTCAAAATAACAAACTATAATTAATATTGTACTTTCAAAATGGTACACCATTGAGTTGTTTTAAACAAACAGGTTAACGAATTTAATAAATACTTTAACATTGATCAATATGTTTGTTTATGTGTAAGATTGTGTACGAAAAAATGCTTATCACTTGAGATTTTCAATTTTCAATAGTTATTTTTTAATATTATGGTTAACAGAAGACAGTTTACAATAAAATTACTTTTGAAATTGTACAGATCTTAGAGACTGTTATTCACAAATGCTAATCGTTATACGTGACTGACGATGGCCTTCTCCATGTCGCCTCACTCAGATTGTATGCTTTCCGTTCTTGTCTGTCTGTTCAACTGAGTGCATGAATGATTGTTTGAAATTAACTTATCCAACTGAATGCGTATTTGGCTTCTTAGTAAGGTCGTCGCACAAACGAGTTTCGCATAAATATGATATGATACGAAAACTGTAGAGGAGATTTATTTCGTAAATAACAGAGTCAGCTCACGAACCACTAAAGTAGTGAGCCGTTTTTGGAGTTAAACATAGTCCACAAAAGTGATGAACTCGACATGATTCGAACACGCAAGAAGCACAAAGGAATGAGCCCAACATTGAATCTAACTTTAAGCTGATTTAAAGCTCATTTGTATGAAATACAGTGTTCCAAGGTCTGATCTCCTCTAAAATTTTTTTGTTAAACAAAAACGTAAGAGTTCAAGAGAATGTTTATATGTAAATATATTACTTAGAAAATGAAGCCATTTTTTTAACCAGTCATATGCGTTTATCCTTGAGGACGCTACTATTTGATAGTCATCAAATGATCTTCTGATTGGTTCACTGTATCACCCATCTAATACTGATTGGGTATTTTACGAAAGGTATTTGCATATTAAGTCTAATATGATTCGTAAATCTATGATGATCAGTCACTGAGTGAATACTTATAGCTAAGCAAACTCCATCAGTCCAATTGAAACATACCCACCACTAGCCTGAATAAAATTGACTTTACTCGCATTATGGTTTGATGTTTATTGGTTGGAGGTAATCAACTGGAAACCTTGAAACTATGTTATTTGATGTTATAACTAAGACATTAATCATTTATAAGTGTATCTGAGTTGAAAAATATCTGGAACTCCAAACAACTTTCAACTAAAACCACAATCAGGATTTTCAATACAAATGTCAATACAGAGTTCTACTGTATGGAGAACTACGAAAGCCATCATCCAGAAGATACAAGTATTCATTAACAGTTGTCTTCGCAAAATATTTCGGATTCGTTAGCCAGACACTATCAGCAACAACCTACTGTGGGAGAGAACAAACCAGATTCCAGTGGAGGGGGAAATCAGGAAGAAGCGGTGGAAGTGGGTAGGACACACATTACGAAAAGTACCGAGCTGCGTCACGAGACAAGCTCTCACATGGAACCCTCAGGGTAAAATGAAAAGAGGAAGGCCAAGGAACACAATACGCCGAGAAACAGAGAAAGATATGAGAAGAATGAAAAAAAAATTGAACAGAACTGGAAAGGGAAGCTCAGGACAGAGGTGGTTGGAGAAAACTGGTCGGTGGCCTATGCTCCTCTATTGGGGGTAACAGGCGTAAGTACGTAAGTAAGTAAGTATCTGAGTTCTTAAGTAGCTTATCAGCAGCCCCAATTGATCAGATTATGAAGCTGCATGAAGCATGTTGGACTCCTGTGGAAAGTGTTAGTTCTCACAATATGCCAAGTGACACGAAACTTCGATTCATCATTATCTGAAGGTTTCCTTCAACCACCTAACATTTACTCATGGACATTAACACTATTGGATACCGACTCAGTGATCTAGAGACTAAGCGTTAACAAGTGCGACCTGTCCTGTGTTCGGAGTCATAGATGCTCACTGTTAATTAGCCCCCATACGCAAACAAATCGACCATCCAGTGCTCCTAATTCTCGAATCGTGCTCAAACATTGGTCGGTTCATGATGTCAATAATAATATTAATTGATTATTTAAAAAACTATCACGTTTGATTGTCTGTTTCGATTTTCTCATTCGATTTTTTTCAGATACATGTGAAACATTTTATGATGATTATTGCTTAGCATTAATGCTTAAAGGTGTTTGTCTTCGTTGTCGTGGCCAGACATTTCAAGCTTATATGTGTTTCACTGAAATTATACAATCGTAAGTATTTGAGGAAAAAAAGATGCATAGATTTTTGCTTGAAATAAACTAATGTCGTGGGTTCGATTCCCGAATACTTATTGATATTGATATATTCATATTTGAGTAGTTTCATATTAGGAACGAATAGTCTAACAAAGACTGGTTAGTTGTTTAAACTATGGTAATGTTATGATTGTTAAATTCTTAGTACGAATAACTTTCAGTCAGTATGGTAACTTATAACTAGGTTGATGTAACTGACAGAAATCTTCGTACGTAAGTGAATCAGTTCAAGTTGCCACACCGCTTTTGCACAAAGATGCGATTGTCAATTTAAATCCCATAGTAGTCGAAAAGATCACAACCGTCCGAAGATATTATTCAAGAAGTATAATCCAGTGAAATGGATTTGAGAAGAGGAAGACAAAAGTGATGAGAAGTTTAGATGAGAATTTGAACGAGCACAAAGAATGGATGCCCCTACACCATTGGAAACGATTTTGAACCATGTCATTCAAAGTCTCTGGTTATTAAAAAGTCATTTTAATCAGTTAACAATAGGTATATGTATCACTGAAGAAATGGTTTTTCAATAGTTTCTAGTTTGAAGCAATCTTTTAAAGACTGACATTCGTTCAAAAAGTCATTTCAGACTTGAATGCACTGAACAACTATTTCCAACATGAGATGGAACTGTGCTGTTTATATATTAACTGAAATTCGGTCAGTCGTAGATAGCATATAGGCGCATCTTATGCGGATTTTCTCGATAAAGTCATTATAACACAAGTTTATTCAGAATAGATGGAACGTGGATAACAATGGAATCCAGGAAACGCACCAGTTCCCAGTTGGGACTTGTCAGCTAGATGTATCTGTACTAACTCTGGTATTCAGGTACATCTAGCTAAAGATGACTCCCCCATTAGGACGCAACTGTCATCCTAGATTTCAACGCTAGCTACATTTCACCTCTTCTACATAAAGTACACTATTTCAACTCTTTAGAAAATCCATCATTTTTGTTTTACTACACTACGCTACACTGCGCTACATATTAACACATTGAATATTGAATTCGTTTGTCGCGCCTTTTTTCTAGTAAACGAAAATTAAAATTAGACACTTATCTTCTACCATATTGTGAAATGGAATTATGTCATCTGTCATATGAAGAAGGAGAAATTGATGAAGCGGTGAAACATTTAGAAAAAGCTTTGTAAGTTTAAACTATTATTCTATGAAATCAATCTGAGAAAAAAACTTTTGTTTTAATTAACCAATGTAGAGATAGAAGCTAGTAGTGGAGTTCATCACGTCTGTGTAGCTTGATACATCTGTCACATCTGACCGGTAATGTTCATTCTAGGACTCGAGCCTAGTACTGTTCTATTCACACAAACACTGTCACGTTCTCTCTCTACTTAGCTATTGAGTTTAAATACTTACTCATTTGTGCAATGGAGTTGATAATTATGTCATTCTTTCAAAAAATCAATAGAAAGTGAATGAATTTTATTTCGATCAATTCAAAATTTTTGAAAGCTTACTGTTCATTTTATGTATAAATCACAAAAAATGTGTAACTTAACAATCTTCACAACCCCGTAATACTAAATACCTGTGCTCACTAGTGACTAGCTTTATGAGGAATCTTCTCCGAGTTCTAGTGGGAAGACGTGACCAGTGAAGTTCAACCTGTTCAGGTGTGAATCAGTGCTCACCGAAGACTGTGTATGAGGTTGCGCAACTCAGTGAATTGATCAAGTTAGACATTAACACCGTTAGATACCGGCTCAGTGGACCGATGGTTAGGCGTTCGCCTACAATACAGAAGGTCCTGGGTTCGAATCCTGTGGGGTGCAGGAGTCGTGAATGCGCACTGCTGAGGAGTCCCATACCAGGACGAAACGGCCATCATCCAGTGCTTTCAGGTTTCTAATGGTGGTCTAACATTGATCGATTCATGGTTTCAAAAATGTGTAATTCAACAATCTTCACAACCCTGTAATACAAACAGAATTAACTGTTTTGTTTAAAATTCAGATTAGAGCTAAATGTGTTGATTGTAGAGAGCTATCAGTGTTCGTTTGAACAACTTCATCATCAGTACAACACTTCTTGAAGTTTAAAATGAAGTGTTCCAATATCTCCACGTACAATTTGTAACTTATCCCGTTGAAACTATAAGTCATACGTGAAAAATTCAAATACTTCACTTCTCTGCTTGAATTTCCTGCTGACGATGTTGTTGAAAGCTCCACAACGAAAACATTCAGCCTCAGAGAAACGAAACGAATTACATATGTTTTCCACCATCTTTAATGGTCAAATGATTTTGAACTTTGAATGAAGAATATGAAACAATAAAAATTGACCACTTTAATAGTCCGTATGTTTAGTTAGTTAGTTAGTTAGTTAGTTAATTAGTTAACTTTGTCTCACCAGGATGAAAGTCAGTAGTTGACATTTTTTTTAAGGTGATTAAGAAGAACTTTTTGTACTACAAAATACAACATTTTTACCAAAAAAAAATTTTAGTGATTTTAAGATAGGGGCATGAATACAACTGTTTTATATTCTGTAAGTACACAGTGGCATAGACATTTCCGTACACAAGTATGCGTTATATGCATATATCAAGAGTGTATTGACCGAAATTCATAGAATCTTATAAACAGATAGGTATAGATGTGTTTCCTCAAGGCCATAAGCGCAATGGTATCAGGTGTATTGATTGACTATCAAACAACCGAATCAGATTAGCTAATAAGTGGTCAGTTGATGATATAATCCTTCAGGTTCGTGTCATTAAAGTGTGTTGAGTCTACCTTTGTTCACTGGTTAAGGTACTGCTTATGATCATCGCTTTGTCCCAGCCCTAGAGAGAGATAATGGTTCTTATTCTGAATCAAATGCAGACAGCCCCAAAAGGATATTACGCGAACTAAACTGCCACATTCAACTTTACAGCTCATACCTTTTTGTAATCCAGAGTTAAGATAGAGTGGAGGATCAACCCGATCACTACCTGGCATTTTGCGTTGGGTTATGGGGTTGTCAGTCCCTGCTACCAAAGTAGCGCTGCATGGGTTTTAACTCCCCCTTTAAAATGAACTTACCTTATTTAACTGTTATGACCCAATTACTTACTTCCGCCTGTCGCTACTCATGGAGAATGGCCTGTTCACTAGGATTATCCAATCAAATCTGTCTGATGTTTTCATTTCCAGTTGTGTCACAAATGCTATTCATTCTTCGCATCTCTGTTTACTCCTCTTACTTTAGCCTTGAGGATCCCAAGCTAAGGCTGATTTCGGCAGTATGTGTCCTGCCACTTTTAGCGTGTTGTCTTAATTTCTTTCTCAGCTGGAAGTTGGCTTGTTCACTGTCATAGTTGGTTGTTGCTGTGATGATGTCTGACCACCATTATTGTTTAGATTAGGCGGTGAAAATCTAACTACAGTCTGTCTTCTCTTTGTTCAGAATGAGTTGATTGGGAGTTAAGAATTTAACAAGTGGTTTTCTGAGGAAGTCACTACACGAGCCTTTAACCTGTGGGTCCAGTCCAAAAGACAGTGAAGGAACTTCGAGAGATATTGTCCAATGGTAACCAGCGACTTACAGCAGGTTTATGAATCATTTATTCCGTTATGATACTGGAGCTCATGTACATCATTGGTCTGGAATCAAGGTTTACTAAGTATTGTATTTACATACTATGTACCCATCAACGACTGACGAACCCTAACTTGTCAGTCTCTTAATTTCACAAGCTAAACCCCCTCTGAGAAGGTGATAAGTAGGACTGATCTGTCGTCAGTGGTTATACACGCATGGCCATATGAGAGCGTTTCGAAAGATAGATAGTAAGAGAGCCGACTCTCCCTACTGTCAACCGTACCAGGTTATTTGCAAGCATAAACAAGTAACTACTGAAATCATGAATCAATCATGGTATGACCACTATTAGGAACCCGAAAGCACTGGATGGCCGTTTCCACCGGGTATGGAACTTCAGGAGAGCGCATTCTTGACTCGCCGGATTTGAACCCGGGACTTCCGGTCGTGCATGAGAACACCTAACTTCTAGACCACTGGGCCGGCACCCAGTAATGTCTAACTTTGACCAATGTAGGGTTTTGCACGACCTCACCCATTTGTCTTCGAGAGTTACTGGCTACACCCAACAGGGTTTAACTTTACTGGTCACGTATTCTCAATAGAACTCCGTAAATGTCTTCACGAAGCTAGAGCTAGTCACTAGTAAGCACATTTTACGATTCTTCAATTAAAGTTATGGAAATCATGAACCAATCATTGTTAGAGTGCCATCGCTTCCATGTGTCTAATGGTGATCTAACAATGATTGATTGAAGATTTCTTCAATAAATAACAATCTCCATAAGCCTAATTGAAATATAAGCAAACAAACCAAATGACATTTCTGTAGAAAACGTAATATTCTGTTTAAGCTGTTAATTGTAAACACATTTACAAAGGTTTATCTCTATTCATTATACAAGATTGAGGATTAATAAATACGAATCCTGCGAGCTGAAGGAGACGTGGATACGCACTGTGGATGATGAGTCCCATACCAGGACGAAACGGCCGTCCAATGCTTTCAGGTTTCTTCTAATAGTGGTGATTGATGATTTCAAATGTGTAAATAAAAACACTAATCTCCATAACTCTAGCTAAAAATATCATAAAATGTGCTCACTAGTGACTAGTAGTAGCTTCGTGAGGAAATTCTCGGAGTTCTAGTGAGAAGACGTGTGACCAACGGAGTTCAACCCTATAGGGTGTAGGCAATAACTACCAAAGACAAATTGGTGAGGTCGCGCAAAATCTGTAAATTGATCAGAATTAGACATGAACACTGTTGTATGCCGGTCCAATGGTTCAGAGGTTAGGCGTGTGCACGCTAGACCGAAGGTCGTGCGAGGTGCAGGAGTCGTGAATGCGCACTGCTAATGAGTCTTATACCAGGACGAAACGGCCGTCCAGTACTTTCAGGTTTCTAATAGTGTAGTGAACGAGAACACAGGTGGGGCAACCGAATTGTATTTAACAGAGTTACTCAGTAAAATCGGAAAACCATATCGTAAATCGTTCATTTGCAAAATAACAGTTCATCATATCGAACTGGACTGTTCCTGTTGCAAAACATCAATCCATTGTCACTCACTATTCATGCATTTCATACAAATTCCATTGTGTTCTAACTCTTTCTTTCTCGATCTTCCCTCATCTTCTGCTGCCAGACATTACATTGACACTCACGTCATACACTACTTATAAGTAGCTCGCACCACAATAGTAGTGGTCGAACACAATGATTGATTGATATTATCAAATTCATTTGTACATTGAACATTGATCTTTGTCTATTATAATTTGTTTGTTTATCTGTTTTCTGTTGCTCATGGAAACTTCCGTAGAAGTTATAAACATTATCATTTAGAATCACGACTACATTTTCGTATACATGAAATGGATACACGTCTTAGAGAGAATAAACGTAAATTATCAACTTTAACAGTAGAACACCATGCACAACATTCACCATCATCATCATCATCAAATCAGCAACAACAGCAACAACAATCGCCAACAATGAAAAAAACGGGTAGTGAATATTTTTTGGGATTACCTAATTTATTCTCCAGTAGTAATAATAGTAATAATAATAATAATAATAGTGATAACAAGTCCATGTTATCATTTAAATCCATCGATCTACCTATGAGTAATAGTAATAATAATAATTATTCATCAACATCCAAAGTGAAAAGTGCTTCATCAGCAAGAAATTTAACATTTTCTAAGAAAAATCACAGTGTTGAAACACTGTCGTCAACATTGGATGCTAGACGTCTGTTTGATGAAGGTGATTTGGACGATGGCGATGATAATGTGGATGTCAATTTGGATGATGAAACATTCAGTATGGATTATGGGACAAGATGAATAGATTATTGTTTAATAAAAATGGTAAGTTGTTGATGAGTGTTTTAATGTGTTGTATAGAAGAAATAGGTGGAATTTTCTTCTGTGAGTGTTAATTGATTGTTGGAATCTAAGAAATACTGAACAAGGGGTTTTTTATGAGTATTTTGACATGACATGGTCGAGCTCACCTTGTAGTGCTTCCAACCAACCAAGTTAGATGTAAGCGAACTGGAATATATGTGGTGCAGGCACTACATTCTGTCGTGATGACCTAACTGCAAGATATATCGGCTGGAATATATGTATTCCTTTGCGTCTTATCATGCCAGGCAGGTTGATTGGAGAACGATGAGACTAAAAGCGGCAACTTAAGGTCTGAAGGCGAAGTCGTACTACTGATTTTAGAGAGGTGTGACACAGTAGTAAGGTGTTTTGCTCGGACAACTAGCTTCTGTAGCGATGCGTTCAGATAAGAAAGGA